TTGAGGCATTCTCTGACTAGAACCAGTATGCAATTTATGCTCAAACCAAAGGTGTTGATGTTAGAGTAATACTTGTCCAACATTTCCGAGAGCGCTTGCAATGCAGCATCAACTTGGACGTTAGTGTATAGAGATGTTACATCAAACGATTCTATGACACTCCAAAACCACGATATTCGGTCCCACCGACCGAATATCGTGGTTTTTAAACAAAATCTTAAGCCAATTGCTCACAAAGGTTCCAGCGTACTTGTCTAACACACGTCAATTCATTGAGCAGCTACAACAGCTGAAACATGAGCCAAACAGTGTCATAGAATCGTTTGATGTAACATCTCTATACACTAACGTCCAAGTTGATGCTGCATTGCAAGCGCTCTCGGAAATGTTGGACAAGTATTACTCTAACATCAACACCTTTGGTTTGAGCATAAATTGCATACTGGTTCTAGTCAGAGAATGCCTCAAGTGTAACATATTCAAATGGTCTGGAAATTACTACTCTCAAGTCAGAGGACTCGCAATGGGCCAAAGACTTGCTCCAGTCATCGCAATATGTTACATGAGTAAGATCGAAGAACCAGTACTCGCACGCTTACCAATGATGTACTGCCGATACATCGATGATTGCTGTATCGTAACCTCAACACAATCCGAAATGGATGAGTGTTTTCGAATTTTAAATCAGCAATCACAGTACATCCGGCTTACACGTGAAAAACCTCGCGGTGGATGGCTTTCCTTTCTGAATACACAGGTCAGCTTATGAGACAATACCGTTCGCATAAAATGGTACAGAAAGGAAAGCTCTAGAAACATCCTCTTACACGCTACGTCAGCTCACCCCTCAGCAGTTAAACATGCTGTTATACATAACATGTTCAAAACTGCTACCGAAATGTGTACAGGCGATGACGAGCGACGAGAGTCACGACAATTGGCGGCTGATATTGCACTCAGTAATGGCTATATGCTTGGAACAGGACGATCACGTAAAAGACAGTCTAACTGTCGTGAATGTGTTAGTCTTACGGAGCGCAACAAGAACAACAAAATTCCTTTGTGCATACCCTTTGTTTCCGATAGAATCAGCCAGGCCATGAGACAATGCATTCTGCGAGCACAGTTGCAAAATGAAGTCATGCTGATTGACATTCCTAGCGATAATATCAAAAGGCGGTTGGTCAGAAATAGAGTTTATGATGTTGAATGTGTATCAAAGAACTGCATAGTCTGTCCTAACGGGAAAATTGGGGACTGCGCCAAATCCGGAACTGTCTACCAATTAGAATGCTTGAGTTGCAGAACAGCGTACATTGGAGAGACGGGTAGACCTCTGAGTACTAGAGTGAGCGAGCATTTGGCCAACATGAGGCGAGGAAATCTATTGTCTCCGTTAGGCAAGCATAAATTTGAAGAGCACGGCGGCAATGATTTTAGCGTTAAATGTGTCATCCTAGCGTTTGAGACTGACATTCAAGCACGAAAAACCCTTGAAGCGGCGTGGATATACTCTCGTAATCCGAGTATGAACAACAGAAATGAATGTCTGACGATAACGAGTGATCTACTACCACTGATATCATTGTGTGAGCTCGATACCGCACACTATAAGTAGCAGGACTCACTGGGCACAACTCAGTGATGTCCGTCACACTGATCTAGTGCGGACTACTGACTCTTTGGTGGACCGAAGGTTCGTTTGCCCTCGTTTGATGTTCCCAGTACGTTGCGTCTGAGAAAACGTCAAGCAAAGCGGACTCAGACGAGATGTTTGGCGGCACAGTACAACGGGTACGTAAACTACAATCCTTTTCAGACCTCCGACGAAGACGAGTTGTTCGAAACGTTAGGTCGATAAAGATCCACCATACCAACCTGTGCGGCATAAGAAATATCGAAACACCATATCTGGACTTTTCAGCGCATTAAAATGGCGAAAATGAGCTTTTCCGCAGCTTTCCAGGTCCGCACTCAGTAAAGAATATGTGTAAGTGGGAGGGGTCCCGAACAGGGAGGCGGGGCGCAAAACTTCCGGCGTATATTCACTGAATGCGGGCCTGAAAAGCTTTGAAAAAAAGCTCGTTTTCGCCATTTCATGCGCTGAAAAGCCCAAATATGGATTGCTCTTGGCCAGAAGCCTCCGAATAGGTGAAAAATTGGAAAACGAGATTCTGCCGAGGCATTGTCTTTAAGATATGTGAAAGCTGTAAGAGAGGAGAAATACCAACGGTCGAACTTTCAGCCCTCTGGGACACCCTATATGGGTTGGATACCATATAGTACATCAGCAAACAACTTCAAGACCCCAAAGAGACATAATGCATTTTCTAGCGCAGAAGAATCAATAGACCTCAATATACCGAACAAAGCGCATTAATTTTCCAACAAATCAAAATTCAAAAAGTCGGCTAGGTAGGAGAGTGTTGCTTAGCGCCAACGCATAGAATGTACTGATGAAAATGAGGAAGCATCAACTGTCGTGTCACGTGTGAAGAAAAACTAATGTGAGTTTACTCTTGACTGACACCGACCGGTTGGCAACAACAAGTGCAGCGTCTTTTTTCTGCTGCCAACTCAATCATGAATAGGCGGCGTATTTTCAAAACGATTCAATATTGAGGGTTGCCAATTTTGAATATGACAATCACGAGGAAATTAACTGTCACTCTGCTGCTCCTCAACCGCAGTAACATAAAAAAGACAGTGGAAACGGTTTTCAGAGTAATTAGGGAGTTGTGATTAGATGTATTCAAATGTCTTCATTCCAGTAGAGTAACAATTATAATTTAGACAACAGTACAAAATACAACGACTTAGAAAAGTAGAAAAAAATTTCAGATCCAAATTGCCACCGGAAAAAACGTTGCACAAAAAGGCCGCCAACTCAGACAATCCGCAAAATACTTCCGGGGAAAACTCAACTTCTAAAACTTCCGGGGCACGCTCCTATTGGGCCGTGTGGGTGGACCCCGCAATACCTGGCCGCGCCCTATCTGGCAGCTCCAGTAGGAGTGTCCCCTGGAAGTTTTAGAAGTTCAGTTTTCCCCGGAAGTATTTTGCGGATTGTCTGAGAAAGTGCGGACTACTGAATTCTGAAACCACAAGCACGAATGAGGACGAGCGATAAAAATTGGATTGACAGATAAATTGGCAATTCATGTGAGACAGGTTAATTTCAGTCTCACAAATGAACAGGAGCCCAATTAAGACAAAGAAAAATGTTCCGCCTTTCAGGAACGAAATTTTCAGTCAAAAAATCATGTTCCAAAAAATGATGGAATGCTGTTATCATGAACCTTTACACAGCACACATATAATAGGGTGTTACATATCCAAGTTTTGTTACCTTTCATCATGTTCTTTTGAGAAAGTCTACAAAAGTTTCATATTCGACAGGTACGGAGAAAGGATTGAGGGCAACCCAATTTGCTCATTTCATATTTACGACATGACTTAGATCAAACGTAATTGCAATCCTTCAACGATACATTAATATCCATTTTCTCTTTATTTGAAAATTCTTCCAAAATGCAGTTTGAAAGTTCAAGCTCTTTGATAGTGCAAGCTGGAAATTTGCCAAAATAGTTCGAAAAATTTGCAAAAATACCAAATGGTTTGTTTATAAGGCGTATATATCGAATATCCAAAATTCTACACATGATCAAAAAACGAGGGAATATTGAGGAGTTACGAAGATTTTTTGCATCAAGTTTAACAAATTTATGTAACTCCAAAATTTCCCCATTTTTCATACATGAATTTGAGACAGAGACATTTTCGTGATGAGTGAGGAGTTCCGCTTCGTCAACCTTAGCATTTCGAAAACTCAGAATATCGGATGAGGAATTTCTAAGAAAGCTCAAGCTTCGGCGATGACTCAGCAGAGAAAATTTTTCTTTCGAAGAAATGCGCGAGCGCGGAGAATGACGAAATGGATGTGGCTTGATGGCTGTCAGTGTCAGAGAAAAAGAAAGAATGGCGAATAGCGAAGGAACTTCCTCTAATGGAAGAGAAATAGCTTTTCTTTGCAAAGTACGATTGAGGCATTGTGAAGAATTCGTAACAAGAAAATTAAGAAAGAACTCTAAGAATTAATTGAACTGCGAAATCGAATTCAATAGCTCAAGAATATGAGCTTCCATGCAATAGTATAATATTCAAAGAAATAACTCATTTTTCAAAGGGGAATAAAAGCGTGCCAAAATTGAAAATATAGAGAAGTGATAGAGCAACTCAATTATGAATTGATCAAACTGCTAAATAGAGATAGAGGGAGCATGAACTTGTACAAAGCTATCATATCCACTTAAATTTACTACACCAAGGCCACAGCTGTAGCGTAAGTGACCGCTGTAGCGGTCATTTTTACGACATGTCTATGTCACCTATCGTCTGGTACTACCCGTCACATCAATGTAAACTGCGCTTTGGATAGGATCCCTGTTCAAATTTCACATCATCTTTTACAATGCGCACGGCGTAAAAAAAAACAACCGCAAAACTCGTTCTCTGTACGGTCACATTTTCAAAAACTTATGATGAAGCCAATTATGAAAGCAATCTTGATACTGAGATGAAATGCGAATTCATAAGGAATACGAGTCGTAATGGAACATATAAAAAGTAACGGCAACGGAACTTCGACGAATGCTAATGGCTTTTCCAAATACTATTTGAACTACGGAGTTAATTTATAGCCATTAAAGACCAGAGGGCGGTTGGATGTAGAAATAATGATGCGAAAGCATGCACAGAAATACAAATGGTGCTTAGCCTATAAACACAGTGATCACTTGAATGATCGAAATTGAATTTACCATTTTCCCCATTACTGATTGGGCTATGGGCACTCGTCTACAACGGGTAAAACGCCGAAGTGTATATGAAGCTATTTGAGCTCATTACCCGCTGATTCAATGAGCCAGTGAAAAATTTCACAGAGAAGAAAATACTGAATTTACCCCATAGTGGAGACAATCAGAGATAATCATCATAAAAAAACGTGACGCGAAAAAAATATTTATATGACTTTGAACCACTTTTCAACAAGACACATAACAGATCTCTGCTAGACCATAATGGAATAAAATGTAACACAACCGTTTTCAGCAAAACTGGGTCAATAACGGAGATGAAAATTAGAGCAATAAAGATTGAAAATGAGTCACAAAAAGTTCCGTAGGATGACTCAACATCGACACTGCCATCACAACCAGATTACACGAATTCAGGAATATAATTAACAAGGGTAACGTGATTATATGAGTATTATTAACTTACAATGGTCCTTTTATACCATTATAGTACTTCTATGTATGTACATTATTGATTGTTCTGCTAACTCACTTTGGGAAAGGGTTTGAGTATCACAGACAGATCAATGACAAAACGGTAAACAAAACAATCGTCATCGAATGGCGACTATAAACAAATTACACGCTATAGTGCATAGCTTAGCATGTGTAGTAAAGTGATATAAATTATTAAGCATCAAATACAAACGAGAGGGGGGGGGGGGAGAAAACGGAAATGGGGAAACCGTCTGCAGCTGAGAGCAGCTGCGGAGGAGAGTAGAATCACAAGAAGAAGGAAGAGCCACTCACTATCTCTACTCCTCTCGCTGCGGTTCTTGCAACAGATCCGCCCCCATCATCACCATCTGCAATCGCAGCCGTCTCAGCTCGATATTATGCAGCTCTTTAGCCCGTTTCTCTTGATTCAATAGGGACTGAATCTCCTTTTCCAGCTTTTCGTTCTCCAGTTCCAGCCTCCTCAATTCCAGCTCTCTTTTCCTTCGAAGAAATGCGACACTCTCATCACTGTTACATTCGGCGGCACTAAAAATGCTCTATGATACTTCGGAGAGTCACTTAAAGTACGATGTCAGTGTACTACTTTTTACATTATTTGCTAAGCACCATTCTCAAAGACATACTCGATCAAATCTCCAGGTCTCGCACGTTTCGTCGGTACCGGACTCAATCTTGAAAGTGAGGTGGACACTTTTATCGTGTTCTCGAAGACTGGTTGTGTCTGCTCGTTGTCTTGTGGTAATGAACTAAATATCTTACGTAAGATTTATGAGACTTTGAGAGATTGGAAGAAAAGGATGGAAGTTGACAAAAAACCGTTTCTTCGTTGCGAAATGCAAAACAGAGGTTTTGCCGCAGAATATCGGAGACAAAAACAATTTTTTGTACACCAAACATTCACTATGCTGTAGTTGATGTTCCATTTGCACTCCTAACATGGCAAAACTTCTTCACATTTACCAATAATACGAGAGGATTGAAATTATGTACTTCTCAGGTCCAAAAAAAAAATCATTCAATCTAAGCAGTCTTATAAGGGATGGATATTAGTCGGAGTAGCCTTTCAAGGTGCGAAGTATAATGTTTTGAAGGGTTTAAACACTGATCCTGAATCTGTTCGAAATTTTTCCCCAGGATGATACCTCCAAAAATTTTCGTGCGTGGGAGTATACTTAGGGCATCAAGGCACTATTCAAAAATTTCCGTAAAATTCAATGAAATTATCGGAAGCTCTACTTGAGCGCCCCTAGTGTAACGAGTGATTTTATGTGATCCCGCGACTTACTGCTCCAAAAACCCTCACATTCCTCCTAGAGCTGTTTCACAGAAAAAGCATTAGAATTTGGTTTTTCGTGCCCTCCAAAGATGTATACACGACATTCAGAAACTTAAATTGATCGAGTCCCTTTTAAAAGAAATCGGAGCTAGGCGATGTATGACTCCCGCATTCGTATACGCATAGACTTGGTATCTTTTGACTGTTACTTTCTCGTTCAACACACGCACTTAAACGACATGCATCAAACTTTGGGCCGCGAGCCGTAGATGACAAAATTTTCTAATAATTGCAAAATGAGCACGGCATATTTGAGGTTATTCGTGCAGATATAATAGCCGCATTCTGCTCGAATTTGAAATGATAGAGTGTGTAATATACTATAATCAAAACGTAAATTAGAACCTCAGAGATGTGAGATGATGATTGCAGAAAAAGGAAAATGAGAGCATGGTCAAAACAAGCTCAAAACTGACCTTTCATTCGACTCGCTTGACGAAGACAGTACTGCATTTGTTTCAACTGATTTGATTTTTGGTATGATGTTCGAGCAGCTGGGTGCTGAAGAGTCCGATTTAGTTGTGCCAGTCGTGAGTGACAAAGATGATGCGGGGTGAGCCATCAACTGCGTGAGAGAAGATGACACAACGGAAGCAGCAGCTGATGCATCGCAGCTCCTCGATGGAGGTTCAAGCTTGACCTCCGGATGCTGCAAACAAGTCATCGTCTGAGATCATTTGAGAAATTGGTACTGTGAAGGTTCCTGTTGGAAAATGGGTGTTTAAAAAAAGAAAGAAAAAGTTACAGATGAACTTTTGTACATAAGAAAAAAATGAAGATTAAGCATTAAATCAATCGCTGCTAAAACTAGACTAAAGGTGCATAAATAGTCGAGGAAATTATGAGCACCAGAATATACGCACTTGAGTAAGGAGATTCACTTCAGCTTTCACTTCTGCTATCTCAGAATCTTCACTCATCATATCAAAAAGCACTTGCTCCACATGATAATCGTTCGAAAGCCGTCCATTGAATTTGTTCACGATTTCCAGAACCAGCTGATCCAACTCCCTAAACTAATTCTGCCAAATCAAAACATGATTACATGTAATAACTCAACCCACCCCAATTTTCCCGAGGGCTTGTGACTATTTTCGCTCCGGGCGAGGGCATGACGGCGCACATATTGCCAGTCATGATCTCGCATTCTCATCCATGTCTTTCCTTGAAATAAGAATACAAAAATAACAAAAATATATGGGAAAAACAGAAAAGTCACCAGCAAAAGATTTCAGTCCCAAGTCTTCAACCTCTTTGGCGACTTCCTTCCACGCTTCTTCTTTTGCTTTCAAATTTACCTACATATTGAAGAAAATGCATTGACTGTAGCGATATGTTCATTGTTCTTACTGCATCACAGAAGATTATATCTTGTCTCTTGGCGATAGCGCGAACAAAGGCGATTTTATCGCGCAACTTGGCATCTCGGCTGTCCGCCAAAGTGCTTGCTATGGTCACTGTTGAGTCGGCAGCATTATCAGCACTAAAGAAACAGTCGTCGAGCAGTGACAACGAAATCACAACACTGACTTTTCCGCGTCTATTGAAAGACCTGGTGATGCTTGCTCCCATCCTTTCGAACCTCTTTTATTGCAAACTGACTCTAAAATTGAGTAATGACAAGCTTAGCGAGTGAATAATAGGGGAATAATGCAATCTCAACAAGCAACTGTCTTAGGGCATATTTTTGGAATTTACCAAATTCTGTTGAGAAGCCCTCTGAAGCATCAAACAAGATATTGAGTTCAGCGGTCACATCACCATCTCGAATAAATATGGAGCCAGGTTAGATTCATAAAACTCCTGCAGAAACATTGCTCCCAAAGCTGAGAGAACTATTTTAGTCGGAATAAACAAAAAAGAAGGGTAAAGTGGAACAGATTTTTTGATGCTACCGAGTTGATACCCCCGTGAAAAAACAAACCAAGCAACTGTAGTGACAGCAAATCTTTGCCAACCTTGCAACATTTCATACCATAGTGACTCATTCAAGCACCATTCGAAGATTTCAGACACTCACGGACCTTTTTTCCTCAGTGCAGCTGCAGCTTCGATACCGAGGATAGTCTGCATGAGGTCCATCCTCACTGCAAGTTTTACCGCTCCACCAACACCACCTAATATTCCTGTTTTGAATCCTAGGAATGAATCGTTTTAGTCAGAAACGATATGATGGTCACACGTTACCACGCTACCACGTTAAAGGGCAAGTACCTGTGCGAGATAATCTTTACTCACGATGAGTACAACATACTGAGATATAGTAAGCATACATCACTATTATACGACAAAAAGTTGTCCAATAAGTACAACATCAAGCGGTAATTAGAAGAGATCAATCAAAACGATGCGCAGTTCAATCTCAAGCTAAAAAGCAGTCAATATGCGTGTTGAAAGGTGCTAATCAAAGTCTACTTGAAGCTCACACAACCTAGTGTCAATAAAAGCAGTTTGGAACGTAATATATATGAAAGAACAAATCTGTATATACACATAAGTAGATATAGGTAAGTAAGATGTTCGACGCTGCCCACAGTCTATCTTATAGACATTTCCTTGAATATTTTATTACGCTGCGTCAGTTGTTGAGTACTTTTGTCCACCTGGAATATATTATCATGCGAGAAAATGACAAATGCCAAGCGATAATTGTCTGATGATAAGTGCATGACTGGCGACAACCAGGGAAGGCTACATACCTTGAATGGATGCCAAGTGCGGAGTGCTTCATCTCCGCCTGCGGTCATAACATATTGGCCACATGGGGACTGAACTATAGAGATGGCACGCTCAGGAGCATGGCCTAAATGAGCATTCAATCTGCTTCCCACTCAAGAATACAGATAAAAACAGCAAAAAGTATATACTACCTGATAGCTTTGCGATTTCATTATAGTTGGGATGTTTCCAAATGACCAGTTTTCCGCATGCATGCGCAGACATCATCTCCTTATAGTCACTATTGAATATTATACCATTGACCTAAATGGTCAGAATATTTGTACACCAATTGGAAGAGCCTCAAAACGGAGATTTACAAATCCCTATCAGAGATAGAATTAAAAGTCAGAATTAAGAAAGTCTCACAATTGAGAAGCGTAAAAATCACAAATCTAGAATCTACAAGTTTTGAAGCTTTTCATCACTAAGCCTTGATATCTATACTGTAAGCAATGAACAAAAACCCACAGCAGCTCCTGTATCTATACTCTTCAGCATTTCTCCGCTATTTACATTCCACAACTTAATCGCCTTGCACTGCATCCCTCCTCCAGTAGCTAGCAGACTTGTTTTGTAATTACAGAACTGTACGGCTCGTACAGACCCGACATGATCATCGAGAACGAACAAACTCTCCTACAACGATAAGTTGAGAAGGATACAATGATCAGTATGTATGAACTATACCGTGGTGTTACTCCCAAGTCGACTATCATCCCAGACGCGAACTGTGTTATCACCACTTCCGGTGGCAAGCTTTGTCTGATTTGGGGACCAGTGCAGACCAACTACTTCACGTTCGTGGCCTTCCCAAATGCTTGAATGATAACGACATAGTTCGCTATGAATCCCAAATCAAGTCAAATCATTCCATCTCACCCTGTGATGTGCTTTGCCACTCTAACGTCATGATGGATAATCTGTCCTGATTGATAGCCAGCAGAAACGACAGCGCCATGCCATCCAAGCACTCCTAAAACGCCTCTGATCATGCATTTCACGTGTGCTGTTGAAACGCACCATTACGAGACTGCCTCGGTGGTTTCATAGTTCTCAATTCCAGCTTCCCATTTGGTGGAGGAGTTCTTGCCGGGTCATACAGCTGAGCATTCGATAGCCATTTCGTGATTTCGTATTTGTTTTTCAACTACGTACCTTTAACGAACCATCCTTGAAACCAACAGCAATGAATTTACCATCTGCTGACCATTTCACGGAAGTTATCAGATTCATCTCATTGCTTTCATCGAGTTCGAAGAGTACCTAAAATCAGAGATTACGCTCCATGAAAGCAAGAAACAGCGGAGAGTCCAGTCCTGTCACTCACCATAATGTCACCGCTGTCAGCGTTCCATAGATACAGGGTACAGGAGAGCGCTACAGCTACAATGCCGCAGCTGCTCCAGTCAATTACGTTCATGTAGTAGTCATCTGAAAAATATTTTATTGGATTTACGTTAAACCTTCGAGTTTGAGTGGGTATCTCAACATCGCTTGGCAGAATTGATCCCCTCAGTTCTTGGTGGTGTTAGGTAGTAGACCCTCAAGCACTTTAAAACCAACCCTACCCCCAGACTCATGCGCTAGTCCTGAAAACGCGGTTCAAAAAAAAAAACAGCATCGCCAACTCAACGAAATTGGGCGGGATGGTGCGTTCTAAAGCGAGTACAGGACAAGTCGCTCTGGAGGGTTAGGTTGGGGCTGCAATGGTTCAGAGATGTACTACCCAACACCACCAGAAACTGCAACCGTCGATTTGCCAGGCCACTGCCTTTAAGACTCAGTTTGTATGTCACAAAAAACAAACGAGAAATACGTAAGACAAAACTGGAGTTCACGAGATACCTTTGAAGTCAGGAGCATCCAGTACACGTTCCGGGTGTTGTGGAATGAATCTCGATGATTTCTTCACTGCTGAGGAAGGCTGCACACATGTTGAGTAGAGCACCTAAATTAAGACAATCTTATCAGTAACGCACTGCATCTAAAAAGGCAGGAAATGCAAATTAACGGGAAAAGAAGCTTCTATAGCATAACAAAGCGTAGTGTGTGACTGAACATAAAATGAAGTCTACTACTGTCACAGACTGCCCGTAAAAGCAATGCTAAGACGCGCGGCTTACGATCGATTGACAGTTGGCTGTTGTCAATGACAGCCGGGCCGCACGCCAGCGCCACTCGCAGTCTATCCAATGCACATGAGCGAAAACAGACGAGAGAGACAATCCCAAGCCAGTCAAGCCATACCTTTGCCTGATTCAGGTGACCGATAGCAGGTAATGGCGCCATGTTCTTTTTGTAACATAAGATGCGATCATCTTCTCCGGCGTCTGTCAAGTTGCCGGAAGATTTCGCTAGAAATGAGCGTCATTTTACCAAAAAATTGCAAACTATAAGAATATACAAGTATAAAAAAACTAAACATGTGAGATATAAATCGCCAAAGTTACTACGATCTTACCTCGCATCATTCTTTTCATTTGCTCTTGCTCGTAGTTCTTAGCCGGACTAGCAGGAGCAGAGTTTGATGTGTTAAACGTTGAGTCAGGAGGCTAAACAAAAGTATTTCCAGAAAATGATTTTTGTGATCGCAATCATTCTTCTCAGTAATTTTTGTCAACAACATGACAAAGAATTTCATTCGTACATAAGGATATAAAGATTATGTGACTTTGAACACTAATGTACCTATGTATATGTTATATCAGAATTTGTGACTGTGCTCAAGATGCAGGATGACAGCAACGCGGGTGATATGAATCGGAGATCAAGAAAATCAATGCAAGATGGAGCAACTGATCAAAACCAAAACATTCTCAGTAAATTAGTTTAATGTACTGGATGCAATATCTATGGACAGCAGTGTCAAAGATTTGCACACCAATCAGATAGTACAAACTTCTATTTCCAACCCTTGTACAAGCGATCAAGGAGAACTTAGGGACTTTTTATCTACTTTGGAACAAAGATAAGCAAATTTTGGCAACTTTTTATAGGAAGGAATGACTCTAGAATTGAAGCACGCAATTATAAGGTCAGTAACCTGTAAAAAATAATGTACTCAAAAGAGACACTCACCTGCTGCATCAGATAATTAGTAAGTTCTAGTTCTTGTTCGCTTTTCTTCACTGCTACGTAACGATCTCCGCCAAGAATGCCGGTAATATTCGACCCAGCGAAAGCTCTGGACGGTGTCAAGTCACGTCTTCGTAGGCCTTTTTGATTCTAAAGTATGATTCCGTGAAAACGTTGGAATCAAAGATGAAAATACTCATTTTTGGTGGCAAAACGCTGTATTATATCTACAGTCATGTTCTCTGGAATGCCAAAACTACTGTTAGATAATGCAAATCTACTCAGAGAAACCGGGTGCGACGTTAATAATCGAAGGCGAACTCAATATATACCTCCTGAAGTTTATAGAGGGTGTAGAGCGATAGAAACATGAAAAAAGAACTTTCGATGATACAATTCATAACACTGAGAGTCCGTAACACAAAAAATCCTTGCATTCTACCTTAGATGTCCCGTTCATACTATAGCATGATTGGCTTGGAAGAGTTTGTGAAATTTTCCGGCCACTACTGGCAGAGTTCTTTCGTAGTGTCAAGTCCCTCATCATGCTGGTGGGCGTCTTGTTAGTAGAATCGCGAAACACTTGAGACATGTTGTTGTACTGAAAGTTGCAGGCTTGGATTTTACAGAATGAAATTTTAGTAAGAAGAGAGCATTTCAAATGTGAAAGGTGAAAAAAGAAGATTTTCAAATTTTATCATTCAGTTGAGTGATAGTTGTAGTTCAGATAAAACGGGCACAAAGCAAAAAACATCTAATACCACCGGAATTCCGTTAAAGTATTACGTCCACAAACTCGCAAAATAGACAATTGAAATGCCAAGACGAAATTAATCAGCCAGTAAAAAACAAGCTGTAAACGATTATGAACAGCGAAATTTTCAATAAAACACCTAGCGCCACGGAGCTAAAAAATAATAACCCGAACAAGGCAAAAATACAGGAACCGCGCACCCTCTTGATTTGATTTTATTTGAAGTTGCCGCCGACGGCGTCTGGCGCGCGAAATCGACGGTTTGAATTCTGCTGCTGCTGTTTTGCGGACATCGCGCAAGTTTTTCGTCTCTGAAAGCTCATTTCAATTATCCTCATTCTCTGACTAGGAGACGAGAGCACGCTTTGCATGCATTTCGTTAACGTTTCGTTAAGTTCTTGAGTGAGTTTTAACGCGTTTTGGTTGTTTTGCTATCAGAATTCGTGGAAGAACATGTTTGAGCTCGTTAAACCATGCTGGGTTGAACACGTTCTTTCACGAATTCCTGATAGTTATTAACCAAAACGGGTTGGAACTCATTCGTAAACTTGTTGAAACGTACGCAAAGCGTGCTCGAGTCTCTTAGTCAGAAAATGAATGAAAATGATACTCTCTTTGCGCTTGCAGCAGTCATGTTCACATGCATCTGTGCGTGTAAAAGGATGTCCGTTAAAGCCATAGCTTAGTCATTCCAGCGGGCATGTTTCCAAGCGTAAATTTTTCAAAGCGAGGCGATCATCGCCGAAATCTAAAGTGAATTTGTTTAAACTCACCGCTTTGCACTGTTTAAACAAGTTTGATCGTGTGGTTAACAAGTTCATGCTTGTGTTCTGTCTCGTTTAGGATTATCACCAGTAAAACCAGGTAAATACAAGTTTATGCTTGTATTTACCTGGTTTTACTGGTGAAAACGTCGAATCTCCTAGTCTCAGGATGCATGAGTTGAAAATGAATGTGCTTACTAAAAGTTCTCTCTGAAAAGTTTCTGCTTCGAGCCCTTTGGACGTTTTACAACTGCTATATACTTGATCCTGCGCTGCCTTTTTAGAAATCCTCAGATCCCTATTTGCAGCTGATCGCTAGGGGATTCCAGTGCTGTGCTTTTCGTTTCGGTGTAATTTGCTCTTACCTTAATTTGGGTGTTGTCGCCTACATCAACATACAGTTCCTGTACGAACTAGAACCTTCAGAGGGCTCCACATGTATATCAAACGGCTCGAAATCGACGGGTTCAAGTCGTATTCAAAACTTCAAGTAATTGATGGTTTCGACACGCAGTTCAATGCCATTACTGGTAGGTCCGATTTCTATCCGTGCTCTTCTTCGTTTTCTTTGACATTTATTTGTTGACGGTACACCCTTCCGGTACACTTGCAAAGTATTCATCGTTTGTTGGCCGGTTCTGATAGCGAAAGCATTGCTCTATCCGGGCGCTCGGGTGGGACACATTCCTTGAATGTTTTCAAAATTCTGAGATGTGAACATACAGTCATGCTGAGTCGAGGTGAATACTATTTTTTATGATACTTCCGACTTCACCTAGCTTTCACGCATTGGTATCTGTTGGTGTCTGCTGCTAACGTAACGGAACTCGTGTATGTACTCAGTAGAATAGTGATAGCGGCGTGGTAATGTTGAACTAGATTTCTCACAAAATAGTTCACTCAATGCTGAGTTTTAGGAATTATCTCTCATTATTTTCGATCGTGGCTCTACCATTAGAACTCGCTTTCAGGTTTGAATGGGACCGGAAAGTCAAACATCTTGGATTCCATTTGCTTTGTATTGGGAATAACGAATTTGACGCACATCCGAGCAGGTGAGTCGGCAGTAATTTGTCATATTATTCTTCTGCAGCTCTATTCCCAATTTGATTCTATATTGTGTTAAAATCCATATATTAAGGACAGCTCCATGATCTCGTGTACAAGCAAGGACAAGCTGGCATTAACAAAGCAACGGTCACAATCACATTCGATAACCGTGACAAGAAACACGGTCCGATTGGGTATCACCACTGCGACGAGATCACCATAAAACGACAGGTATCGGTGTAGCAGTTACCCGTGCTCAACCAGTTTTCAATTGATGGTGGTGACCACTTTCAAATGGTTACTCAAAATTAGCTTTCAGATCATAGTTAACGGACGTAACACTTACACCATTAATGGTAGCACAGCTACAAATTCTAAGGTATGTCTGTCAATCTTTCGACTTGCTAATTTTGCTTTCCGCTTAGTTCCTTTTTGCTGATTTTTAGGTCTCTGACTTCTTTCGAAGTGTTGGCCTTAACGTTAACAATCCTCACTTCCTCATTATGCAAGGCCGCATCACAAAAGTGCTGAACATGAAGCCTCATGAGGTTCGTTTGGAAATTATTACATTCTTCACTTCAAATATGCATCTATTTTGACAGATTCTCGGCATGATAGAGGAAGCTGCTGGAACCAAACTTTACGAAGCTAAAAGGATCCTAACAATCAACACTATTAACAAGAAGCAGACAAAAGTTGACGAGATTGAGAAGGTATATATCCTATTTGGTTTTGTTTTTCCTCTGAGCAAATCTCTTCTAGCTAATCGCTGAGGATATACTTCCACAGCTCCAGCAGTTGCAAAGAGATAAACAGAACTTCTTGGAGTATAATAACTGCGATCGGGAAATTGAACGTCAAGAACGAAAACTAACCGCATACACTTACTATGCTTCCTTGGTAGGTGGATGAGATTTGTTCTTTTAGTCTTTTAGTCAGTCTTTTATCTATGCAACCATTTTTGAACTTTTGTTTCATCCGCTTACAATGGTGTTTACGCTTCCGTTATTCCATTTCCCTTTCTTTGAGTATCTTGTCTACGTTAGGATTCACTTTTGTTAGAAGTATTCAGTCTCATAAGATTTCCAGCTAAAAACTAATAACTACCATTTAGCTAAACGCTGAAGAGTTTGAAAAGCAAGCCGAAGCGAAAAAAGACGAAATTGGAAGCCTTAGCAATGAAATTCGAGAGGTTGAGGAGATTCGAGATCAACAGCGGGCTGATCTTACAAGTGCCGAAGACGCCAAGAGACTGGTTCGTTTTGCAGCATGAGAAATTTTGTATTCGCATTGTACCATTTTTTTACCAGTCTACTGTACTTTAGCGACATTTGGAAGCCTTTTCGAAACTTGAGGAAGGCGTAGCTGAAGAACTTGTCAAGCTTGAAGCATGCGACGAAGAGAAGAGGGAATGCAAAGAGTCCTTTGGTGAAACACTCACCGAATACGAAGAGAAAAGAAAGTCATTAGATGCTGTGAGTCGCGATGAACATAGTTCTCTACCAGAAGTAGATATTTCCTTTTCTTTATCCATATCCAAAGATGCGCACTCCACTCGTTTTCTGACACTCTTGCATTTCTATCCTAGTTTGAGTAGACTGTGGTATGTGATTTTCGTAAAAATTATGTTTGTAGGAAATCAAAGAGATGAAGAAGAAAGAAGCTGCTCTTATTAAGTGGGAGAATGAGATAGGTTCAAAAGAAAAAGCGTTCAAGGATGCGGAAGAGGTAGTCATCCCATACAGACTTGCAAATCAGTCCTGAGCTCGTCGTTTAGTTGGCTGCGAAAGCCAGAGAAAAGCTCAATGCAGTAGCTCAAGGTATGACCACGGACGATAGCGGTAATGCTATAAGTGTGGAAGAACAGATAACAGGTTTGGTTCAGTCTTGGTTAAATTCACATCCTCTGCTTCACGTTTCTTCATAGTTTTTGGGAAGCCTTCATTTATCGTAAACGACAGTTGCAAATTTGAACTTCATGATGTAGGACAAAAAGTTCGGATGATTTCAAGATGCATCTTGTATCTGGTCGTGAGCTAGCTGACCTTTCCATATGAGTGTTTTGAGTTGCTGTTCTTGTGTTGGTAGTTTGAACGATTCAAATCGCGGAAAGTAGGGGAAGTGAAGTAAGTTACACGCTGCTTCCTCGAGTCTCAAGGAGCTCTCTATAAAGTGCCCTTAACAGCATATGGTGGACCTTACAAAAGCATGCGGACTGCCAGTGAACTAGTTGCTCTAAAAAAGTGCATCAGTTACGGCAGACAGCAGCTGGGTCGTCGAAAGGACTCCAGATAAATGTCGGCATGCGTCAAGGTCCCTTTATGCTCCCCTTTACATCACAGTCAAGATGGGGTAGCTGAGGATCTGATGAAACAACCACTATGGGTCATCCTCCTGGTGAGGCGAAGAACGAAGGAACTCGAGGATTTGAGAAGTTTAGTCAGCCGTAACCGTTTAGATCAGAAAGCACCAAAATCAGTTCATTGTTCTGGTGGATCAGCTACGTTAGATAGGTGCCACGGGGTTGGGCTCTCCTTCCTATGTAGTCGTGCGAGAGCTCTTATATGACTGCAGAACGAAGACTTGAAGGTTCGGGAATATGAGTGGAGGGGAGGGAGACCGCTATACCGGACTGTGATCCAGGGGTAGCACCAGAATCTTGGAGGCCGAACCTTGGAGGAAGTCATGAGAGAGCAGACATTGCATTGAAGGAAAATACAAGTAACAGAAAACTTTTGTTGGGGTTCCAACCCGTTCATATCACTGTCAAGGGTGGTTTCCTGAGTGATATCATGTTGTGTAGTCTAGTGTCGATATAATTTGAAGATTTCACCGTATTTGAATACAGAAATCGCTTTGGAAAAGCATTAGGATATTTTCTCGAATCGTGCTCTTCTATGATTTGGGTTGGAAATAACGCGGCTAGGTTCTCAAGCGCTAATTTATACGAGTCTGCCGAAAAATAGGCGATCACCTGCACCTAATTTTAGACAACATTACATTCCCAATTTCAAACACTCTCGGCCCCCTATTAGACGAGTTCATACTTAGCTCTATGATCGCTAATGTAGAACCTGTTCTCAATCTCCGTTATCCGTGTAACAACTTTGATATTTGGGTTGACTCTGAGCACCTCCGTGGACTTGACATATTGCGAAGGCAACAGAAGCAAAAGAACTTCATTATGCATCACAGATAAATTAATGTGATATGTATTCCTTTATATCTGAATACAGAACGTCACAAATGTTTGTGTAACTGCTAGGGTGTTGACAATTCTCCATCTTGATGTCTTTCGTCTACCTTAAGGTGCTATAAAATATTAGCTAAACTTATGTGCAGCGCAAAGCGACCGTTACCAATGACCACTGTTTATTGTTATAGTTACATCAAACTATTATAAGATCATTATGTACTACCTGCCATTGCGGAGAACTTCTAGATTACCTATGCTTCCGCATGCTAATTTCAAAAAAACTTCGTAGAAGGTTGTGAGTGTTCTACTGGCCAGAAATTCTTGATGATCATAGTAAAAAGTAATGGGTACACCTAACATGATATTTGATAGAAAAATGGCGGTAAACTGCAAATTTTTTTGTCTGGACAGCGACTACGCTTACGTTATCTACACTGTATTCAGATTTTTTTGTAGTTCGCTTCGGCGCAAGCTGGCTGCTAAAGCCGTAAAATCGCTTGGAAATCGTAAATCTGAAGTGTCGGTATTTTGCTTTTTCATGCAGATCTAAGTTGAAGCTACCCCATTGATGGAATGTGGTAATGAGAGCCAGTAAGATTAACAAAAGTGCACTATACTTTTGGAATACCTACTTTTTACATTGTACTATGTTTATATGTGCCAAGAGTTCCGCTCTCTTTTGTATCTCAATGGGTCGGCGTGGCTGGGCCATCCCGCCACAATAATAGCGATCTTTAGTCGATGTAGGAAAGTCTGGGTTTCCACAGTAACTGCTTTGATTTCTTATGCTTTCGTTTTGCTAACTGGAAAAGTAGTCACGCACGGATTTTTTCGGAGCGATATTTGCAAGTTTTTCTGATCTTTTTGAAGTTTTTCAGGTTATCGCTCTAAACTCAAGGAAATTGCTGCTGAAGTCTCTACCGCGGAGGAAAAGTAAGCAAACAAATTCTTACTGAGTTGATTGGAAACATCCCTTGTTTAAGGAAGAAACGAATTCTGCCGGAGTTGAAAAAGAAGAAAGCAGAGTATGAACAAATGGCGAAAAAGAATAGCGTCGAATCAACAGAATTGAAAGCAAGAGAAGTGGAAGTGAAGAACTATCGGGTAAAATTGTATTTTCATGAGGACATCCTTGTAGATAAACCGAAAGATAAAAGCTGCCTCAAAATTATATTTTTAGCAAGAGCTGGCGTCGATTAGCTACAATGAGGAACTGGATACGAAAAATCGAGATACTCTAGCCACATATCAGCAGGAGGTTCAACAGATGCAAATAAAGCTGAATATATTGCATCAAAAGTACGTCAGCCTACTCGGATACCTCAAAAACTAGAGAGAAAAGTTTTTGAGCAACGCTAATGTAAACTTTTGATGCAGAAATCCTCGCATACATTTCACCTACAAGGATCCATTTGTTGGTTTCAATCGTGATGATGTACGAGGATGCATTGCGACTCTATTTCGTATAAAAGATCCGAAGTATGCGCTGGCTTTGGAAATCGCTGCTGGATCATTTGTGAGTTTTTTTTTTTGATTTCTTCATCCACTATTTTGAGCAATGAAAATGAAATTCTCTTGGCTGTTTTCAATACCTTCCCTTTACGAATATTTTTTCTTCTTGCACTTTTCCATCTACTCATATCAAAGATTAGGTGCCATCAAAGGTGACCTCAAATGACTCCATCGCGATTTCTAGCCCTCGCTTAGCTTTTTCTCTTCGTCATTATTCTCGCGTAAAAAAGCTCTTCTTTTCAATATCTGTTTTACCTAACCAAAGAACTTTTAATTTCACATAAATTTTTTGGACATCCTGATACGAAGCGCTCGCAAGAGATCACACAGTCAGCCTTCATCTTTTCATCTCTAGTATCTCTCTCATAAACTCAAACGAAGCTGCTCTGGTTTTCACTTTTCTACTGCTCTACATAACTTTCTAGAACAAAAAAAGCTTGCTCTAGAACAGATGCATTTTTATCTTCAACATTCTGATCTCTTCAACAGTCTTTTCACTGTTTTTTCCTTTGTACTTTCATGTCACTACCACGGTATATTGGTAGCTCATCCCCATACAGTCTTTTTCCTGATAGTCGTTTCCTTCCGGATTTTCTAGCCAGTGTAGGATTTACCTAGCTGCTACGTGTTGTTTGTTCACTTATTTCTTCAATACTTTATTAGCATAGCAAAAATGGAAGATCGAGATTTTATGGTAATAATGCCTTATTGTACAAGGACAAGATCCAATCAAAAATATAGCAAACAACTAAATGCTCACTTGTTTTACACGGTTTCACATCACATTATTAGAGATCTCTTGGTGACGGTGTCATTACGCCGCCTTGATTTTCTCTATAGAACACGTACTCAGTGTAGTGCGCCCATCGTTGTTCTTCGTAATCACCACAATTTCGGTGATTCATAAGGTCCTGTAATGGTTATCATTATTGCAAGCTGAATACGGTGATAAGCCCAGGTCTCATATTTTTTCTGCGTCTTCTGCTCGCAAATAAATTCAAAGTAACCGTGATTAAATGTGTTAGGCTTTTCAGTGCACTATTGTAAACCAGATTTTTTGTAAATGGGGCGACAGTGCTCGAAAAAGTCTCTGGAAGATTTTCACGCGAAAGAGATATCAAGCGAATAAGCAATGAAAACCTACGCTTTAGCGTCAAATCGTTAGAGGCTGCTAAATCCAGTAAGTGACAACAGTATTCTAAAAACGTTTCCGCGTCCAACTTCTGACTTGGCAGGACGAGCGAGAACGAGAGAAAAATTGCCGAAAAAGGGTTTGTAGTGATTTCGTCTACGATAAGTTTTGCGAAATATTTGTATGTTTTGCTTGTTTCCCGGCAGTTTTGAACCTAGCCTTATTCTTAAGGAACTAGTCAGAAAGAAATGGATCTTGAATGACGAAGATTTGGAGAAATGACGGATGCTACAGGAATAACAGTTTGAGGAAAAAAGTTTTGCTGTTCAGATTTCCATTTACAACTCATTTAATGCGCTCTGAGAGTAACCAATGCTAAAAATTTCGTCAATAATCTCTGAGATTTACAGAATAAATAGTCAAATCAAACAAATAAAGCAAAGTTACTCATAAATGATATCAAACATTTTTTTTGAGAATTACCTCTAAACGCTGAGCAGATATTTTTCTTAACATAAACAGGAGGTGGTGCATTTCCTTCAAAAAGAAATGTAATTTTGCTTTCGGCCTCAGATCTCGTAGATGCTTTTCTATAAAATTTCATTATTTTCATTGACAGATAGAAATAATTGTAGTGTGCAAAATTTGGAAAATTTTTGGGTTTGAGTCGAAAGTGGTAATGTATACTTCCTTGTACTTTCGAAAACATATTTTTTTCAAATTATATAGTGATTAGCAGATCCTTACTTCTATATTATATTATCTCCTCACTCCAGTCACATCTAGGTTTTGGCGATTGCCCCGGTAACTCATCATCAAACTTCAACCGCTTTAATCCCAGTCAAAGATGTTTCAACAGCTTTTCTTCATTCTTTTCTTCATGGGTATTGGGATTGCGCATAAATCAATCACTATGTGGCATTTACCATTTTTGACCATCAGCCATATCTGCCTAAGTTTTTCCAAAGCTGAGCATCTGCGCAAATTCATGCTTTGGGAGACAATTTATGAGGAAGAGGAAATGCTCTCGGCGAGAAAAATGTCGCTATGCAGACGCTCTGATTGGCGAACTTTGATCGCAGACACGGCAATTTGTCAAAGCCATAGGCTTAGTGAGTGTTGTTGTTGTCTTCTAATTGCTATGTTGATGAGAGAAACGATCGTCCAGCAAAGCTGAGCTCCTCATTGATTGTTTTTAGCAACTTAAAAAAGTACTGACTTTTGATGAACATTTTGCCTGGGTTTATTAGAGGTAATTTGAGAGAATTTTGCTTGCAAAGGAAGACGGAAGATTTTCTCAAATATGATATCGATGAAACTGGTTAGGAATGATGATTCCATATCTACCCTTCATTTACGCAAAACGGCTCAATAGACGAAATCCTACACTTTATTTGCGTGCGCAGATGGCATGACCAATTTTTTAGTAGCACGAATTCGTAGCCAAGCGAAAACCTGATTTAGCAAAATTTTCACGAATGTGTGCTATGTATCTCCAAAATGTGAATAACTCAACGAGAAATTTCAAGAGACGACCCAATAAAATCTCGAGATGACTTGAAAACTTGTATGCGTAAAATTAGGGTGGATTTGACGGTTTGTACAGTGCTCCTACGGTGAAGCCAACTTTTGTACGTGAACAAATTGCTAAGTCTAAAATGCTGACGATGTGCGTTGCGTGTGAAATACCATAGACCGTACATATGCAAGTTTTGCGTTCACGACAATTTATTCACGCGCAAGTGCTGTGAGCACCGCAGCAGCGCTATAAGAACCGTCAAAGGGTCACATCGTATAGCCTATACGTCCTTGGGGATTCGAAGAACTAGCTGTGTTTGCTAATGGCGTTTATATAAGAGAAGAAGAAAAAATAGATCAGGGGAGATCTTGATTTCTGAAAAAGTGTCCGCTATCATCACCTCAAATCAGAAGGACTAAGTTCCCTCTCATGTAACTTCTTCAAGACCATGTGATGTTTGGACCGCTAGCAAGTTCATTTACTTCATCTCCAAGAAGTACCCATTGTAATTCATAACGATTATTAATGCATGTAGTTCTATTGGCATTAGTTCTACTTTGAAGAACTTCGGGTGATTATCGTCAAGGGCTATGTTAAAGGCACCGTCCACCCAAAGTGAGGGTTGATGAGATTTCGGTGCATACTAGTGTGGGCCCCCATACTAGGCAAACTCCCAAGTAGCGCCACAAAATACTCTCTCCGAAGCGAGAAATCCGCTCCGGAAGGGACGTAACCGGAGGTGGTCACTCCGCCCACTTTGCAGGCGCACCGTTGGAGATACTACACGCACAGCGCAGTACAGTGCTTCGTCGTAGGCGACTAATCGGAGTTTTTTAATGTTATTCCGTGTATTAGTATTCTTAACCGTTCGTTTTTTATTCAATCGTGACCAAATTTACGACAAAGTTGTTTTCCCGATTATAGCTATCATCAGCATCCGGCATAGCTATTTCTCGATGTAGACATGATCTTTCTTTATAGGTGACGCTTGTGCTCAATGAAACAAGATGAACATGCGAAGATAACGTGAGTTTCTTTTCATTGCAATGTACATCAAATTCAAAAACTATTTGTAGTCAAAATGATCGTTGTCGTCGTTACTACATGACTAATGGATCATTGCAATCTGTCACGCATTTCTGCGCAGCTAACTTGCTATTGCTGTACTTGATCTTGACGTGTTATTAAATTATTTGATGTTTTGCAGACAAATGAATCCTTTTCCATTTCCTAATACTCCTAATCGTTGCACAATTGCCCGTGACTAGTTTGCAAATGACGCCCTGCGTATATCAGCGCGCCTGCAAGGTGGGAGGAGTGACCACCTCCGGTTACGTCCCTTCCGGAGCGGATTTCTCGCTTCGGAGGGAGTATTTTGCGGCGCTACTTGGGGGTTTGCCTAGTGTGGGGGCCTACACTAGTATGCACCGAAATCTCATCAACCCTCAGTTTGGGTGGACGGTGCCTTTAAGAAGGCCTAAGCGGGTGCATAAAGATGAGTAGCGAATGGTGTAAAGTGCAAGTTTAGTTCGAGCATCTCATTTCGCTGAAGATTGCGGACCAAGAAACAGAAGGATCGATGTGGATGGTTTTCTAGACAGTAGAATCTATGGGAAACAAGGCCAAACATAGTTTTGTAATGAAAAAATTCTTTTTTGTAAAAAATCACCTGCGGGTTGCCGCCCCCACTAGGTTGATTTGCTGCTAGACCGTTGGCTCCACTACAACATGTAGCAACCAGCTTGAACCCTTTCTCGGCAAGGAGATCACACGCCTAAAATTTTGAGAAATTTAGATGGTTTTCGCGATTTTTTTAAAAATAAGCCCATTTTCCGACACTCCCTCCCCCGTTTTGTGAAGTTGTTTGCCGTTTTCGAGTTTTGGGCAGCGAATCTTGCCTGTGGCTCGCATTGATCAACAAAAGCATCTTAAAAGTGCGGGCGAGAGCCTACTTGTCAAATCCATGCGTGTCGAGTATGTGGATTCATTAAGTTTTGAATTTTTGAGGTGTGGAGAAAGCCTTGTAAATATAGGAGTTTGAATAGGCAGTCCGCGAGTTCGAAATCTCGTTTTATTAGGTTGAAACATAATAAGAAAATCTTGTGCTTTTCAAAAGTACTTGAAGCGAAATGTACTGTTGTCATATCGTAATAGTACAAACTGATAAAGATGAAGATTAAAAATACTTGAGTGTTTTTTTTGAATTTTCGCTTGTCAAAATTACTGGAACTTCTTCTGAATTTGCTTAGTTTTGCTTTTCGTTTTATGTCATGCTTTTTATTTTTGCGAGAGATTCGTGCCGATCGGACGTTTCTGCGAATGATTATGATTTTAAAATTTTTTAAATATAGTTCCCTTTTGAATTTCTGAGGTGAATTTTGATGTATTTACAAAAGATTAGCGATGTGCTCAAAAAAGTTCAAAGTTTTTACCAAATTTCATATGTTTTTGGTGCAAGACTTATGCAATTGAATTTTTTTTAGATCGATTCTCCCACTCAAGAAATCTTTAAAAGAAAATGAATGATGAAGTTCATTTTTTTCGTTAAACATTCGCTCTCCCTTTTCCTAGAGTAGTTTCTTTTGCTTGAATGCTTAGACTTACCCGTTCAAGACATTGATGTTTGAGATAAAGTCGTGACGTATAACGTTCAACATCGTCTGGTCCACCAGGATCTCGACTTTCATTCAATGTATCACCGAACACTTCACGACACAATGTTGCTCGACCACAGACGAGGATTCGATGCAATTTCCGGAATTTCACGTCTGCTTGCCCATCTCGACCAAATGCAAATGTGCCTCGATAACCAAGCGTGATGTAACCTCCTGAAAATGAGCCTTATTTGGTGGGATAAGGGGGGAGTGCATTATTTTTGTGTATGAGGAGGCTAATAAGGTCTTTGCAACAAATACGGATGATAGAAGGAACGTGGCTTATAATCTCGCTTGCAATTTTTTCTGCAGATAATTTACAGTCGAACAGTATGGGGGGGGGGCAACTTTGATGAATTTTCTATTTTAATATTTAAAAGGGAAAGAAAATCCCAAACTTTTCAAAGGTACTCAAAGCATAGTATGTTACTGCAATGATACAAGCTGACAAATAGAAGAAGTACCAAAAAGTGGTTTTTTGAATTTCGCTCGCTAAAACTACTAAAACGTTCATTAAATTCCAAGTTTTGTTTTGATTCTATGAGAGTCTCTTCTATCTGAGGGAAGTTCGTGTCCAAGTTTTTTTTTTCAAAGAATAGTGATGATCGAATTTTTTCATTCAACTCTCGCTTTCAAGTCGAAAAAATTCTAATGATTATGACAAGATACAATTTTTTGTATAAGTTATAAAAAGTGGTGGTGTGCCTCAAAAATGTCATCCAAATTTTTATTCAAAATGAATTGTTTATTTTTTGGTACAGGACTCATATTTCAAATTATTGTAGTAGTTTATCGGGATTTTTTTCAATCTATGTTGCTTTTTCAATCTTGTTACTGCAACCGTTTTTCTGTCTTTCCTTCCGACTTCCCATAAAGATTACTCTATAGACGATTCTGCATAATTGCTTTTAAGCTTGATTACTGAAAGCGTTAGATTTAAATCTTTAGATCTTTCAAATCAATCCCAACGAAAATCCTTGAAAATGGAAGCATCTGCATATTTTTGCACGTTGAGTGAATTCATAGAAGAAAATTGAATTTCGAAAACAAAATCAAATAAACATCTGCACGCTTTCCGCACACACAGTAATGGCCCCGCTTCAGCGATTTTGCATTCTGTGCGTTGTTTTGCATGGAATCCCCCAAAACAAACTGAGTTGGCAGCTTTAGAAGCCTTCACAAGCCGTCCAAGAGCGTTTCGTGATTAATGTGCGCTTCAAAACGCCCGTCACTTGGGGGCCCTCAAGTTGAGTATGTCATAGGGTCGAAGATCTTGAAGAGAAGACATAGGAGTCTATTGAGGAGTGCGTCGTGTCCGTTTCGAATGAGGCCACTTTGCGCCAGAGCACAATTCTCGCAATTGAAAGAGAATGGGAAAGTAGCTAGCTTACCACTATCGCCAGTCGTGCATAATCCGCCATTTGAGAGTTTAGGTTTCAAGTAATTCAGTTGTAATTGCTGTAATTGGGGCATGAGGGCTTCTCGCAGTTTTTCGATATCATAGTAGTCGGCTTCATCTCGTAAACGACAAATCTCTTTGAATCCCTCTGGCAACAGCAGTTTCTCAGTTCGTAGATAATTTAGAATATGCGAGAATAGTGTTCCATCACGATCGATAAAGTATTTGTTGTCGTCAAGCCTAATAACTCCCTTTGGGAGTGACGGTGATGAACTTTTTGCTAGTTTGCATAGTAGAGTATTCGGCTCTTTTATTAGAGTTTGACGTGTAGTGCTATAATGTGTTCCACCGACGTTTAGTTCGATAACATCATCAGCCATCGGCCTGAAATTGACAATGAGTAAATGGATTCAGTGAAAAATTTAGAATTTGAAAAGAGCGTGACTTGTTGAGGAAGTTTGCCGAGTCACGATAAATAAATGCGAGAATTGAGGAAGTACTACTAATAGACGATAAATAGAATAGATAAATAGCGTTAAGTGCTTCGTACTTCATGAATGGGTTCCCGCAACAGGTTGAATGCGTTTCGTAGAATTTTTAGATGAGAGTCGGTTTATTTTGCCAATTGGCTGCAATCCTCGCCTAAGCACCTTGCGTTCCGCAGACAATGATGGTTCTGGTCAATATGAATGAAATGGGACGTCTTTGGTTTTTTCATTAGGGAAAGACCTTTTCTATGCAAATTTCATGGACTAGTGGGAAATTTAAAATCTTTCATGTTTCTGTTGATTTCACAAAGCGGAATGCATGAATCTTTCATCTTGAGCTAGTCTAGTCTGTCCTGGCTGAAGAATAAAAGTTAATTCATGTGATGAGCATAAAAAGCGCAAGAAAACAATGCAGTCTATCTAGGGCCAAGGAAGAGAGAGGGTGTTTCAGAAGAATTATGAGTAGGATTAGAAGAGACCCGACTGATAGAGTTTTGGAAAAAGATCCATCGTTCGTATGCGCTTTGGGCGGGCCTCGGTGGCTCCGCCTTTAAAATTTATGGAAATGGGAGGATGGTCAGAAAGAAAGACAGCCTAGAATACTGCTTTTGCTTAGTTTCTCTGATATGGTTCCTAGGAATAGAAACTTCAAGTAAAGAGAGAAAAGTAGATAGTGAAAAAAATGTCCTTGTCTTTTGGAATAAAGGCGGTTAGCAAAAATGCACTAGACCAGCTTTTGCTTGCCTTCTCAGTCGCAGTTTTCAGAAGTAGAATTTTTGGGGCAAATGGGCAAGAAAGGTGGTAAAATGTGAGATCTTGGTTTCTGCAAAGAAGCGAAAGAGAAGACGCGCCAGAATTACCTCAAATTGCTTCGAAGCTGATTTTTTGGAAAGCTAATAAAAAGAAATATATCAAATCTTGAACATAACAGTGAGCATGAATCATATCATGTTACAATACTTGAAATCCAAGAATAATTTTTTTTAAAGCATTTCTTGGTGGTTTTTTTTCTACCACAGCTTTCATTTGCAGCTGCACCCTTGTGTCTATATTGCTGCGTGTTGCGAGCAATCTCTTCTAGAACGTTCTTTTCAATCAAAACCTTTTTTCTTCGCGTCCCGTTTGCTGGTAGAAAAAAATTTCGGCTATGGATTCTGCGTTTGCCACTCTCCAAGCTTCATTGTCTTGGATACCTAGGATGGGGTAATAAAAACCTTGCGCTTGTGCTTATGGCAGCCATAATCCAAGATCATGCAATGAGGTTTATGCAAAGAAAGAAATAATGGAATTAAAAAAGTGAAAATTGAGGCGTGGGCTTACATTCTAAGGGGAAAGTGTAGAATTTGTCGAAAGATGCATAAATATTGGCAAAGAAGTTCTTTGCTGTTCCTTTTTGATGTGTTTCGCTTAAAACTGATTTACGAGCCGAAATGCTCCAGAAGTGAATGTCAAAGAGAAATTTTGAATGTGCACCATTGTTGCTCTAACTGCTCTCTTGAGGAGTGCATTGGAAGTGTAATTGCTTCTTCGGATAACATAGAGCCTTTTTTGAGCTTACACAGGAAATATAAGAACGATTGTTCTTCTCATGCAAGGTCATTCCACATTATTGTGTGTCTTGGGAAGATAAAGCACCTGAAAGCACTTGGAAACAAATTACACTGGTGATTGAAGACATGCAAACGCAGGAAATTCGTCCACAGAGAAAGCGCCGATAGTCCCTAGATGCTATTCGATCAAATCTTCGTCTAGGAATGCAAGCCACAGGAGATGAGCTTCCCGGTGGTCTGTGCCGCGAAGATTGCTTTTTGAATAATGGTTTGTGCAGATCAAAAAAAATGGCGAAAGTAGTAAATCATCTCGAATACAGTGTCTAGGCAGGGGCAAGTTTTTTACTGCGTCTGATAAATCTAAAATTTTGAAGTATTGGAAGGGAGTCCATTCTGCTTTTTTTTTCTTGCGAAGAGGCGAGGTGCTAACAAGGCTTTATTGCTAATTTTCAGTCAGGTCAATACAGAGGCAGACATTTGCAGGGAATGTGAGAACCTCGAAATCTCAGAAAAAAGAGAGCGTGACGGCAGTCAATCTTCGAATGAAAGTTCTAGGACTAATTTGATTTTTTTTTTGAAATTACAAAAATTCAATAATTTACAGGAAGACAAATCGCATGCATAATATCATAACTCATACAAGGCTCAAAAATTTTTCGACCCATTTCCGCAGGGGTGGGGGAAGGAGTGTCCTTCCCATCGTCGTAGGTGGTCCAAAGATGTATATGAAACCAAGCAGAGTGAATAAAAATTGGCGAAAATTCCTCTTCATTATAGACAAACAATTTGGAAGCATATAAATTAGGACTCGTTGTTTGGAGACCATCCACGTTGATCGGCGGAACAGAATGGGGAACTTGAGCATGTGCTTGATCAAGGACCTCGCTATTGTATCGCACTAAATCTCCAACCGTTTTTGATGGGCAGTGCCTTCAGTTTGCATGAACGAGCTTTTTTTTCACACTAAAGTCAGCAATTATACTCAGACTATAGAACTCATACTTGCTAAGCATTTAGGAAGTTTTCTCATTAGTAACTTACTTAGGTAAATGGTGAAATAACAAAAAGTGCATACACACTTTCTTCGTTGCTCTCCTTTTGATCGAGATAGAAAGAGCTCTTGGGTCTCATTAGTTTTAGGAAGTTCATTCGAATGCACCCATGAGAACAAAGTGTATTACGAAGTTGATAAGACAGATTTTGTGTTTTTGTGATAAAAGGTATCTGACAAAAATATTAAAAGTAAGTAGGAACACGAGAAATTCAATGTTTTTTGCCTGTTTTTTACACCATCCGGTTTCGGGGTTTAGAACTGTACCGGTAGTGCAACTTCCTTAGTGCCTCTCGTCAGTAGTTCCCAAGGAAGTTTCAAAAACAAAATTCAAATCAAAGACGAGATTTAAGCTACGAGAAGAAGAATGTAAGAAGACTTAGCGAGAAAGTGTGAATCACACAAAAATTAACGAAAAAGAAATGACAAGTTGATGTAAGGGAGAAAATTCCATAATTTCATTGAATTTTTCATGCAACATATTGGTTTCGCAGAAAAGTCACAACCTTTTTTCAAAGTTATCGCATCACTCTCCTACCACAGTGATGATTATGATGGCTCCGCTCATTTGCAATTCTTTATGAAATGCGTGTTTGCTCGTCATAAGTTCTAATTTCCTTCCTATTTTCAGCTCTATCATGTGGTCGTGAAGGACAAGCATACCGCACGTCTTATCGTCGAAACGGGACTACCTCATCGACGTACATTCGTGCCATGGACAGAAGTTGTACCTCGTCACTATCATGATATCGCACAACGTTTCCGTCGTGCACAAGAGCTGGTGGGTATTGCATTTCAAAACAAAACGAGCTGCGTAACGATGTCGTTAGAGGGCCGCTATGTTTCATTCTGTTGTTGGAGTGAGCCATGGTAAAAAGAAGAGAAATGAGGGAGGATAAAGGGGGTGCGTCTGGGTAGGGGAACGAACGGTGCCAGTTTGGGCCGCCTCAGCGAACTACTGTTCCTGGAACGACATGGACAACACTGCAAAATGACCAGTTGACCGTGAAAGGCGGCTTAGGCTAGCGGCGTTCGTTCCCCTACCGGTGCGTTTGGAAGCGAAAGTGAGCAGTATGGGAGGGAAAATGATAATTTACAAAGTAGATATTTTATAAAGTAGTTGTTCATTTTAAATTCGAGGTTAAAAAAATTTGTGGTCTTGAATTTTCTCCAGCGTCATTGTCGCAAGAAAGAAGAATTTTATCGGATTAGTGTCAGCACGATAAATCAGGAAATACCTCTCTATCTAGAGCTCTGAGGCAGATTTGCTTCAACGCCTCATTCGAACAATCGCAAAAATTTATTTCAAAAAATTAGAAAATTTACGGGAAAGAATAATAGAGTTGGAATCAAAATGCAGGAAATATGAGCTGCAAATAAAAAATCATAAATTCAATTTTCTTACACTGCGGACTATCTTCCAAAAAAATCAGCATTTTTACTAAACTTCTTGAGTGGGAAAATTCCAAATCTGGGCATTTTCAAAAAGTTCAACAACTGAATGTTGTGCATTCCCTAAATAATCAAATCGATATGTAACAAAGTGTAACAGAGTCACTTCTGAAGCGGCTAAAATGGAATTATACGAACTATTCTTCGTCTGTGTGCAAATAACATTGTGGTGCAAACTATGCATGAGAGAGGCCAGATTCGCTCTGTGTGGCTATGATTATTAGCCTCATAGCTATTGGCAAACATCGTGAATGAATAATAACGGGCTTAGTAGATAAATTGTGGTTAGTTCAACGTATAGATGAATTTATAAATCAAACACCGAAAGCTAATCCGCTTATGCAAACCTATAAATACCAAGGTAGCCTCCGCAAATGAGTGGGGCGGGGGAGGGAAGGGGTAAAAGTGCAATCAAACCGTCATCGTCATTACGTAGAGCTTACTTAATAAGATTGATGAACTTCTTTTTTTCTTCTTTTGAACGCAGTTCAGGCTGGTGGGAATGCTGATGTCATGCTAATGAATATAAGTGCGTGCACATATTACAATTAATGAACTTTTGTTATGTTATAGGTCATGCTTCATTCTTAATTCCTAGAGTTTTTAATTTGCGGAGGCAGAAATTGATATAAGATCTATTTGCGGCATGTACTCAGACAACCGACCGGAGCTTCCTCAGGACGTTTGGGGAAGTTCCGCCGGGTCACCTGAGCAAGGTTCCGTTAAGGTGCTGCGGAAGTTCCCAAATGAAGTGCTGCGGAAGTTCCGGAGAAGCGAACCACTACAGCAAAAGAGAACACTTAAGCTAGATTTGAACCTTACTCTCTACGAGACTCACATACTATCCTTTGCACATGACATGTTCGGTAATGCACTCTAGTTGTTGGCGATGCAATATCGTACAAGACAATACGTTCAAAACCCTGCGGAAGTACTAGCATGTCAAAGTGCTACGGAAGCGTTGGCATATGTTGAAAGTTCCGCAGCGATTGTAAAAAGTCCTGTGGAGTTTCCTATTTTCAGTCAGTCTGACGTGAAACTGCGAAAGTTCCCATTTCATCCGTTTCCACTTTTGCAATAGTATAAAAAATCCTGCGGAACCGCTGCAAATTTTGCTTGTCCTGCGGAAGTTCCGGTGAATTGTCTGAGGATAGATGTTTCTCGGACCAGCGCTTGTAATTAGCTTATTCGTATGCAAGCGAGTAGCAGAATTATGACATCAGCTCAACCAGATTGGTCACAAAGAAAGAGAAAAGCGAGATAATTGGGTCGATAAGTGGGATATTCGAAGAAGAGCCAAAGTAATTTCGAAAAAAAAGCCATGAAAGTAGCATTTTAATTCTGACCAGTATTTACAGAAAAATGTAATCAAAAAGGTTGGAGCTTGTTATGTATCTGGATTGTTTATAGTCTGGGACGAGCTAGAACATTCGTACCTGCCATTATGTAGAATTTGTGTAATGACAGGAAATTGTTTTTTGCAGGAAAATATTATTCGGAAGTGAAACAAATGTGTTGACGGTGAAACGATCATGGTTATTTGAAACTCCTCAATAAGTTTATGGAATAGTGCGCTGTAACTAAAAAACTAATATCCGCGTGGGAACTTTGAAAAAGCTGTCTCATATTATTCCCAAGGTTTTTAGGAGGCAAAGGGAATAAAAATGGAGGGTTTTGTGTGCTTTATTCTAAAATGTAATTAACTTTCAGAAAGGGCCTCTGTGACCGCGATTATTTTAATGGGATGCACAGCACTGATACACTTTAAAGTGCTGACTCCAAGTTTGCCCTTGATATCTGCCGAACGATTCTCAAAAAGAAATTAAGGACGTTAGCAGCAGATTTTCCATCCCATGAACAGCAGAAATGGAAACATCGGTCACATTCTCTGTTTAGTTATATCACAAATCGTGTGAAAAAATTCAAGTTGACCATTCAGATAAATTATATTCAAAATGCTGGAATATGAGATAATATGTCTTCTTCAGTGTGAAGTTCCTTCTCAACCAGATAGCGGAGACCTTTGCCTTTTTGATTAGTAAATCTACCCTATGAAGATCTAATAAGCTTACCATAATGCCAAGTTTTTCTTGCAATGAGTTTTTTTTTGAAAGAGGAGGACAATTGAAGAAAATAATTCCAAAGAAACTGATGAAGGCTGTTCGAGTTTGTATAGAAGAACGAAAAAGGAGGCGGTCACGTGTTGGGAGGCAAATATTGTCCCTTCCTGCATGTTAATTAGCTGCAGTTCCTATGGGAAGAGACGTAAAGTAAAGTGCAAAGCACGACGTCTTGGCTATATAACTTTCGTTCTAAAGGGCATATGTGAACCTGAATATGTATAAAAATAGGGCAGAAACCGAGAAATGCCTTTTCAAGCGCGCCCTATTTGTTTTTGGAGATAGCGGGTTGTGGTGATGTATAGCCCAAAATGGAAATGAGGTTTGGTAAGCGCTACGAAAATTACAAATCGTTAAGAGAATGGAAAAGGCCCTTCGCATGATTTTCGGACGCGAAATTTGCGACGCGGAACTCGCGAAAATCGCGGGATTTTGCGGAAATTTGGCGGAATCATTGTAGAGCAGGCACATTCGAGTTCTGCAAACAGGTTTGACCTTAGAATCTCGAAAATCCTGCAAACAGCGCGAATCCCGCATTTCCGCAAAACTTTAGTTTTTTATGGAGATACCAAACGACATAAAATGACTATTGTATAATCATCTGAATATTTCATTTATAGGCAAAGAAGTTCAAAGGAGAGAATATGATGTTGGCATTGGATCTGATCGAATACGACCCATTGTATCAGAAAGTTTTCGAGCTCGTCTTTGGTGGAGTGAGTATTTATTGTTATTTTTTACTTCAGTTGCTGTGGAACAAAAAGTTCTCTACCAGTCAGTTGCCCGGATGGAGCTTTGTTCTCCCAATCTTACAAATAATTCGATGATAAAAAATAGTAGACGTAGGAAATAAGAGCGGAAGAGCAATTTGAGCGAGCAGTGAAATTCTATCCCAAGTTGACTGGAAGCAGCATTTCAATTGGCTTTCAACAAAGACGTGCTTACGTAGCAGGACTTTCCCTCTAGAAATGTAGTTCTCTGAAGGAAGGCTCACAAACACTGAACTTTCAAGAGAATGTCCTTGATACGCAGTTTTGGTTTGTATCTTTAGTTGAAGTCTAGGGATGAAAATAGAAAAATGAGCGCAGGAGACGTTGAAGAACTGCAAACTGATTAGTCTGATCTTATTTGGCGAATTTGAGGGGCTTCATTTGGAATACCTCGTCATTGAATGTTGGGTTTTCACAGTGATCTTCGATTTTTGTTTTCGAGTTACTTTTTATGCTAGAACTTACTGTTAGTTGCTTTTTTTGCTAGGACGCTATATTGAATCGAGCCAAACGAATATGTCATGTCAAAACTAAACTTCATTTTTGTATCTTTCTGATGAAGATAATAGTGATACAGCCATCGATATAAGAGTTAGCGCTTGAAAAATAGTTGGTTTAGATTGAACATCAAGTGTTTACTGATTATGGTGATAGATAGGCGTTAAAAATAAAAATAAGAAAATATAATGATGTTGCTGCTAATGCTAAAGCACATAATCTCTGTCCAGACGGACCACTTCCACTTTAGACTATTGTTGGGTATGCAGTTCAATGTTAGGCTTGTCCCCTCCCCCCCCCCCTCTCCCCAATAACCCATCACCGGATTACCGCTGCTACCATGATCCAGTGTCACCGATGTCTTCACTGTTACCGTTGTTCATTGTAACCGTTTGTGCCGTTGTTATCGGTGTTCCGCTTCGAATAAAGGTCTTACGACCTCATTTTGCCAATCACGTTTCCGCTGGCTATGCTACGTTCACCCTTTTACCATCTTCAATGTAAAATGAACGTCGTTTACCAATCGAAGGAACGCGAACGGAAAAATGAGGTGCTTTCACAAAGCGGAGCAGCTGACAATGGTAGGATCGGTTAACAATGAACAACGGTGACAATGTTAACAACGATAATAGCGGTAACGCTGGTAGGTAGTGGTAATTTCCGGCTCAGCACGAGGTGGCTTTCCGAAAATGCAGAAAACTAAGTCCCCGTTGACTTTGGCAAAATCTTACAAAGTCCCCTTTTACCCTAAACCCTAATTGTAAAAATCCCTCAGAAAACGAAACGTCGACTAAAAAAGCGTAACCTAAGTGCTGGTTTTTTTCGGTTACAAAAACTATATCCGCTTTACTTGTCTCAAAAACGATATCCAGCTTGCTCGTAACCCACCTGTGCCGTGCCCTGGTAGTACCGTTAAGACCGGTAAAGCGGTTACAGATGGCGGATTAGAGATCAGAGTTTCCAACCTTTTGTTACACTAGCTTAATTGAGCATTGCAGATAGACAAGACGAATGAGGTTTTTGTCAGATCATTTCCAAACATCTCAATCCAAAAGGAACCTAGTTCTTCAATCATAAGTGGCAAAGATGTTATTGAGAAAATGCGTCCTCGCTAAGAGTTTGGGCGATCACAAAAATGCATAAAGGACATAGTGAAAGCCGAGCTTGTGGAGCGCAGTTCCACATGCTCTCTAATGCCCTAGCTATGCATATACGTTACCAGTTTGCACTCAGGAATAACATAATCAATGCCCACAAATCAGTTGCGGAAATAAAAAAGTGACAAAGTTACCCATTTCACTTCCGCATAGGCAAAATCTTAGAATTGAAGATTATGAATAGTTACAACTTCCTCGCTTTACGAATCCTGCAAAATCGATATCCCCTTCGTTTTTTACCCTCAAACAATATCCAGCCTGCCCCGTAAACCCCGACTGAGTACACTTTCCTTGTGAGACCCTGTGGGTTTTTCACATGTACAAATACTTTCGCCATATCTGTTTTCATTATTTTTGCGAAATTTATTAGTTTGAAGAATAGGGTACGATCTGAGGTTGTTTTTGGGGCCTTACATCACAGTTGCGTGATAATAACTTCTGGAGTAGTCTCTAAATTTGCTTATACTTCAAATATGCTCTTTACCACGCAAAATATTATTGATGTTTTCTTTTCTTTATAGCAGAAGTTTGTGAAAGTACTGAATAATACATGACATCCGGTTTTGAGTTGAAAAGTGGAATGAAATATATCTGAGTTAAAAAGTGGAATGAAATATAGACTTTTCATATCCATACTGAAGCAAATTTCTAGAAATTTTTTTCTCACAAAACTGCGTAGCCGTATAGTACGAGAACTCTGGAAGTAGAATTACAAATAGAATTTGCATGATGCGCTGCAAGCGGAGCAAGTTCTCGTTAACCTTTAAAGGCGGTGTTTGACATTTTGTGTTTGGCATTTCGCGCCTAGTCAATCAAACAAGCCTCTATACACCCACCCCCCTAAGTTGTTCAAGTTATGCTGCAATCCAAGTGATATACGACCCACCGAAATGCTGATTTGGACGGATTTGACTAAATTGAGTTTTCCGCGCAGCTCCGTTTCCTACGAACCGGACCCATTTGGTGGAAAATATCGCACATCATAACCGCTTAGGATGCAGTTTTTGTAGCTTAATATGTGCGACTGCACACAACACGTACATTTTGCGCAAATTTGGATTTTGTCGGGAAAAGGCGGCAATTTTTGCACGAAGTTTTGGTTGTTGCTCGTTTTTATGGTTGCTACACTTTCCGTTATAGAGGAAACGCTTTGTCCCAGGCTATGCAAAAAATGTTAAGAAATTATTCGAATGCATATCGAACTATCTCCAAGGGAGTCGTACTTTGCCGAAAAAAGTCCAAAAGCGTCTAAAAAAGCCCAAAAGCGCCCAAAAAAGCCGGAACGCTCCCTGGAGCTTTTGTTAGAATTCTGTCATTATTTTGATGCGCAGACAACAAAAAATGAAGCAAAACCACTCGGTTGCGAAACCAACGCAGATGCTTTAGCGCCAAAACTTGCGCGTGAAACGGGCGTTCCGGCTCTTTCTGGCGTTTTTTTCGGGCTTTTTCAGGCTTCTTTGGGCGCTTTTGGGATTTTCGGGCTTATTTTTAACGCATTTGGGCCTTTTTCGGCGAAATATGATGGGTCCCTAATGACTAAACTCTACGAATAGCGTTGGCTACTAGCTTCATCTGAAACCTTTACGCCCTCGTAAATGGAAGAGAGTGCCTTTGGAAATGAAAACAAGAAAGTGCGACGCGACCGAATGTGTGATAAATGAGGATAAATCTCAAGGGATCATACAGGATAGATTTGCTTTCCAAACGCCAAGCTCATCAACTCCTCCTCAGTTGATTGTTGTTTGGTTTGAATTTGCTCCATACACAACAATAGACGCTAGTTTGTCGTGCCACTATCAGAAAGCAAAGGGAAGAATTGGGTGGCAAGAGGGTTGAATATTTGCAAATGTGCAATGGAAATGATCTCTGAATATTTTCTTGTTTAGATTTTGATTTGTGATACGATCCACTGTGCAAAAGAAGTGGTATATGATAGCCAGGTGAAGCTTAGGGCTGTCACGGCAAGAGGAGATGATTTGAAGCCAACTGGAACAATGAGTGGAGGTGGGTTTTTTTTGAAGATTATTTTTTTTTTCTTTCCTGTAGCGTACTTTTGTCTATCAGGTGTTTTCTTTACGTTTCAGATGATTTCTATTGTGTAACTTTCTCACCATGTATCTCAGGTTTTAAGGTTGAGAAAGCCTTGAGATCTGCATCTTACCTGTGGGAACTCTTTGTTTACTAAGTTTATAAAGAACATTTTCTCTGAATGTAAAGAGCAGTGGAAGTTTTTGTGTTATCAGGTGGATGAGGGACATAGGAGCTGTGTTCTTTTATCAATTTTCGACTCTACAGGGCTAATAATTTGCTTCCGTTTCATTATTTTTTTCTAAAGCAATGCACCTCTTTTTCTCTTACTTGTTTTTCCAAGAAATTTGGCGGCATATTTAGAGATACTAGATGTATGATATTTTTTTTTAGTTTTCGTACCAAAACATCCTCCAAATCAAGATTTGATATGATATTTGACTCTCAGCATGGGGGGGGGGGAGGAAGTACTGAATGTAAAAGTCAAAGAAAGAAAGAAAAGATGGAAGACCAGAAGAAGGTGGATGAATCTCAGATTAGAGTGAGCTGTGCGGATACCAATAATCAAATGAAGCCGTATCTCTCTGCATTTGTGCGCGGCAGCTGCAAAATTGATCTAAGCGAGTAACCCGACTAATCTGCACCACATTATTATGTTTAGGAGCTCCTGACCGACGAGGACCAATTCTTTTGGATTTAATCGATTATCCGACTTTTAAAACGGAAATCGCATGGAAACAGGCTGAAATGGAAAAACTAGGAAGTTAGTTGGGAGTTATTTTTTCGATTGCGTCAGAATATTTGCTGATTTTCAGAAGAAGTAGCGAAATATGATAAAGTTCGGGGACGCTACTCAGAACTCAAGGACAAACTCGAGCGTGCTTCGGCTCGTTTGGAAGCTTTGAAAGAATCTTTCAAAGATGGACCTTTGCAGCAGCTAAGCGAAGAGATTAAAGTGCTTGAGAAGGTAGGACCCGGGTCTCACGCTTTTCTCTTTCTCTGCGTTCTTTTTGTTAGAATGAAAAATGAGCCTCTATTCTTTCACCAGGAAGTTGGTTGAACTAATTTTCGACGCGCTTTTTCGCGCTAGAAAGTAATGTAATTTGATTTTTATTCGTTTTAGGATCTTCCGGAATGTGACGCACTTTTGAAAGAAATGACCAAACAAGCGAAAGAATTGAATGATCGCATAAATGCTTATGAAGAACGCAAAAGGAATGAACAAGCATTCATCGTGAGTTCGTTTTCTTGTTTTTGTAGTGATAGTGATTTAAAGTCAAAAATCAAAAGTGTCGGAAATGCCATCAAGAGAGAACGAAGCCGCGCCTAGCTGCCGGCGAACACGGATTAGGGGCCGTCGAACGTAATTTGCTTTAAAGCTTGAGAAGCACGTTTTGTATGCAGTAATCAACGATGGGAACGCTGTACTTTTTATTAGCCACTTTGATTTGAAAAAGGGTAAAGGCCCTTTGTGGCTATTGTGGAAGGGTGAAGATTAATGAATTGAATAATTGTCTGGTGTGAAGCTGGATACCGTTGGGAATGGGGGAATTATCAGAATTCATAAATATCAGGAGAGCAGAGATAAAAATGTGTTCGTCGTGTAAAATGTCCTTTTAAGAGCTACCGTAATCCCTTGATTGCTCAAATGCCTATTATGATTCTAGTCGTAATAGACATTGATTGTTCCAGTTATTCTGTTCTGAACATGGAAAAAGATGCTACTTTCATTCAGTTAGCCCATCACATTTTTAAGGATTGAAAAAATATAAAATTGAAAGAGAGATCCATTTAAAAGGTCACCAAGGGTTCTCATCCATGGCTTAGAACAAACTCAAATCATATCTTCTACATAGAAACATCGATGTAATATTTCCTTTGCTTTGTTAGCAAAAAAAAAACTGGCTTCCGCAGCTGACAAATGGATTGTCCGCTAGCCGAGTCAGCAGAGCTTTATCTTTTCCCTGCTTAGTTTTTCCTCTTTTTTTTTTTGTACCAAAAAGAGGTGGAGAAAAACCTTTAAGCAACTGTTGTCGTTTGCTCTGCGCGATTCGATTGACTGCACATCTAAAACTTGGATGACCAGGGAAGAACCAGCTCTGAAGTGTTGATATTGCAGGTTCGAAAATGACTTTCTCTTACATCGGCAACTGTGGTTCTTGCATAAATTATGCCTGTGCACTTGACGTACAAAGAGAAACACGGAAGTTTGCACAAAAATAACCTCATCTTTCACTTGGTACATTATTTGTTTGACTTCCTAGCGTCGTTGCAGCCAACTTTGATTGAATCGCTGGAAATTGCGGAAACGTTCAATCCCTACAGGTGGCAATTTTTTGCATTGTAGTTTACGACTAAACAAATTAGCAACGGATACGACTCGCGTGTTTTGGCAAAATTAATCGTGGTGCTCATTCGACCATCGCTAAATGGAAAACAACAAACTTTGACGTGTGAAGATAGAGTACGTAGTACGCGGATTTCTAGATTCGGTATGCTTTACGTTCAGAAAGTTCTGCACGGTAACGTGGTATTAACGGTTTTGGAGAAACAATGGGCACACCACGCATCATAGTCATTGACGTCTGAAAATAGTAATGTCATGAAGGGGAGGAGGGGGGGGGGGGGTACGCGTTTGCTTGCAAATGTGCTGCTTTGATATTTATAGTTTGCACCATCGACGTGGTGTGAAGGGTTAACTCAGATCAAGCCCCGTTTTCTTGTCAAATGAATGTTTGATGTCGACTCAGGTCTCAACTCTGGTGAATAGAGTAGAGTTTTGTAGCAGTTCAAAAACCTTGGGTTCTGTGATCGTAAAAGTGAACGAGGATTGGGAGAATTTTCGCGGCTGATTTCTTTACACATCTCCTTGGACTTTCGGGCAAATACTCCAAAATTTTTCGTTCCCGACAAGTCCAATTTCGTCTACCAAAATCCATACAAGCTGCCTGGGTTTTCGTCTGCGACTGTGTCCGTGATTTTATGAGCTTTCAAAGCTGAGAGATCTATGTTATCAGGCCTGAGGTGTTGGCTATAAACAGTAGTCTAAGTTAGCATGTTTCATGACGACATAATCCGGAACTCCTGCTTTTCACATTATGCAGTAGACATGCTAGTGAATGATGGCCTTTAAGCGTCATAAATATTGACTTTGTGCGAAACATGCGAGTTTTTCTTGCTCTTCATAGAGAAACTCCATTTCGTCAACGGCGGTGAAGCTTTCAAGTACAACATCATCTGTGCAGAAAATGTGGAGGTTTAAAAATGCGCTTTAGCAGGGTTTGCTTGGAGAATTTGGCTTTGCAGAAGGGGGTGGATGTACTCCGTTAAAAATATAATTGATTCAAATTGAGTGTTGCTAACATAGACCGAGCTGATATTTAGATTGAAAAGGGGCTGGATAAGTGAATTGAAGAAAATGAGATCTGTGGTTTTGTTTTCTGATGTGGAGGAATTAGACTAAATGGGTGACATTTGAAATGATTATCAAAATCACTGGTACATTTCATGGGTGTTCTTTTTTGTGTGCTGAGAAAATTTGGCTACTCAATTCATAAAATAATACCGAGATTCATCAGCTTATTTTATGACATCCTTTTACTAAAAATTAAGAAGATCTACATGCATTTCGCACAAGTATTGGAAGTGTGGTCAACAGCATCCATCTGCAAGCAGCAATTGGAAAAAGAAACAATTTTGAAGATGTTAAGGCCAATTACGTTGGGCTATACCTTATCATTTTTGACAGAACCAAAAATGCAAAATATGTAATTATGATGAAAATCACCAAGTTCGGCTACGTAAGTTATATACGCTCGCTTCTTCTTTGAATTTTGGATAATTAACAGAAATCTAGACTCTTTAGTAAATCTATACGCACTAAGCCCCAAGAGCTAGAATGCTTTGCATGTTTCAAATGTAAAGATAGAATAGAATAGAATTCGTATGCAAGTGTTTAAACTATCTAATGGCCAATTATATATGAGCAAAAGAAACCGATATGCATGTCTGTTTACATAGTAGGCATGGCACTTTCGACAAGGATGGATGGCAACAAGACTGCTGCTACTTATTTTCAGGAAAAGGCCAAAAAGACAGCGCAAAAAGAGTCGGATGCAGCTGAGAAGCGTCTTGAGTTGGCAAAGCGAGATTTCGAGAAACTCAGCGATTCACTAACGAGCACTCGGTATGTCGTCGTCTTGATAATTGCGAATTTTCCTCTAGGGGTAACGCGGGCTAGGAGCAAAGCCGCTGTGGGATGAAATGGCACGAATGCATTTGGCCTCGTGTGTGTGGACGATGTGTACGCCTATTTTGTCTCGTGTTGTTTTCCAGTGGAACGCTTACGACGATGAAAGAGCAAATTGCCAAGGAAGAAGAGGCATTGAAGAATTCGCAAAAACGAGTTGAAGAGTTCAACGAAATGATTGCGGCAATTGAAGAGCGACGAAAGATTGCTGAGGTGAGAATGCGAAGGCTAAGTGAATTCGGACTTTTGAATTTTGATCTTTTTCTTATTTTTTGCTGTTTAAACAATTCTCGTTCCTGCTTTTTCTTGTTTTTACCATTTCTTTCAAAATCCAAACTTTTTTTCCTGCCTATATCCCATAAACCCATATGCTTTCTAGGTGTGTTAGGGAACAAAGGGCTTTCTTCTCCTCGCTCTCAATAATGTTTTCTATTATCCTATAGAAATAAAACGAATACGCTGGTGAATTCAACCCCTCAAATTTTTTTTGTTTCGCAAACAATGCTCCTTTCAGCTGTTTTCTGTTTATGGCTTTCCTTTCAGAGTCTAGGCCTTCCTGGATAATCTCATAAACCTATATGCATTACAATGTGATTAGGAGCAAATGAGTATTTTTTTTTACTCACTGTCAATTTTCTGCTATCTTAAAAAATGAGGCAAACTTTGGAAAACACCGCGAATAGCTGTTTCTATTGTTATTTAATCCACTAATTAGAAATCTGAAAGCTCATTTCAGTCATCTCAAATTTTTTGCGCAGGCTAAATCTGCTAGGATTAAAATCATAATTTTTTTGAATATTTTCAATATAGTAAACCACTATATTGAAATTGAGATAGACTAGATGAAAATTGAAATAACGTTAGGCGCTGTGACAGTTTTATTTCATAAGAAAATGGAGAGTAATAGTGAAAATAGATCGTTTTTATACTTTCCATGTGCTTACATTTCCGGTCTTTCGTGGGCCTTTCGAACTATTATCTTTTTTTTTTCAGGAAGGACACAAAGCAGCTGTCGCAGCTCTCAAGAAATTCGAAAAGGAGTTGAAGGAATATGATAAAGACATTAAGATGCATCAAAACAAAGTTGACGCTACAGATAAGAAACTTGTGGCACTGGTAAGCACCTTACATGCGAAATACATTAGTTTAGCGTTGATGATTCATACCTTGTTTAGAAGTCAAAGAGGGAAGCTATGGAAATGGATATCCAAAAGTACAAAGACGAAGCTGTCGCCTATAAGAAGTTGGTGAGTGTTGCGAAAGTGCCGAACTTTCTCAAATCTGGAATTTTCTTGTATTTCCACATTTTATGCAATGCAAATATAGTTTTAGAAAAGCGATCTGAATGATTTGGTAATGCTTGTTTTTAGGCCCATCAAAAGGTGAAATCCCATCCATGGATAAACGATGAAAAATCTCATTTTGGCAAGAAAAATACCGAGTATGATTTCACAGAGTGAGTTGGATAGCGTATCGCTTACTTGAGCCATTAATTCTGAGCGGGTTTTGAACAAGGGCTCATTTATCATGCAGTGGCTTAGTGGTGTATTCTCAGAGCTTATGTTTGACAGAATTCCGTAGGGTACTGATATGCAGGAAAAGCATTTTGGTATCGTTTTTTTTGCACCATAAGAGATCAAGTCATTTTTGTAAGGCAGATTGAAAAGGTGGTTGCCAAGCGAGGTGCTATGGAAGTGTGCAGTTAACTCACCTTTGAAAATAATCAAATACTATAACTATCAAAAGCAAAGCAGTTTTAAACTTTTTTTGGAACGTAGCTCATTACTCTTTTTTTTTCAAAATTAAATGTATCCGAGAGATATATTTTTGTCAAAATATCTCCTCGTTACTTTGGTCACGAGCTATCTGTTACAAATTTTGCGAAGACATTGACTTGTCTGGAAACAGTGTGGATTATATGGAAATGACTCCCAGCATCTTTATTGAATTCTTTACTGCAACAACAAATTTGCATTTGTTATTTTTGACGATAATTTTCTATGCTCTGGTAAAATGTCGCGTCTTAACGTCAGATATACCTTAGCTTTAGAGATAAAGGAGTGTCTAGGTTGAACTTCAACTACTGGTTTTTGCTCACATACGTAATTTATTAGGATCTCAGACTTACGCTTGCAAAAAAAGTATGTGATTCGGAAACATTTGAAAAAAACAGCAACGATAGATTCTTGTTTAATTAGATGATCATTTTGGTCACAGTGTGATGCCAATTATAATAGCAAAAGCTCACTAGGGAAGTGGACGTTCTTACTCGAGATCTTACGAGGCCAAGACTTTTGGAATTTTGGCTTTACTTCTTTCTTCCCTTTCCAAACAAGTTCATATATGATGAAACTCTGACTGGTTTTCTTGAAGTTACATTCTTAGCGCTATTACAGTTTATTCTTTGAGTGTGCTTGATAGGTTCCAGATGTCTCATAAAGGTAGATATAGTGTTTTCAAAGCTTATTCTGGCAGATAAATGGGATAAAATTGAATGCGAAACAGATTTCACACTATCTGCTAGTGAAGACTGTCTTTGCTTTTGTGTCAGAACCTAGAGGCTGGAAGATTGAAGGGCTGATAGTTTCCAATCCCCAGCAATATAACAGAATTGATTTCGCATTTGTATGCTGTTTAGTTTTCCTGCAGTGAGGTCAATCGAGACTTCAAAATTGCGCTTTTCCATAACGAGCATTCTATATTCATAGGGAGGGTGACAACGTCGTCACTATCAATGACGCCATTGATATATACTTCTGGAAGAAATGACGTGAAATATTTGCGTAGGTAAATGCGAAAATGATAGTCTAAGGAAAGGCTTGACGTTCTTCTAGGCAATACTGCAATTTTTCAAATTTTCTACTTGATGATGAATAAGCAGGACGTGGTCAACATCATAAGTGGACTCTTGTCCCGATTGGTCTCTTATTTTCTACTTGAATGAATTAATGCGGAGGCGATAGACAAAGAAATTGCAGTCGAGCAAGTTTCGGGAAATTGTATATTTGCGTGACGTTGGTAGACTATGAAGAGGTCTTAAAGTTTCTTTTTTGCTTTGGGTGTTTCCTAGGTAAGTCCGGTTATATGTTTGCACCATGGAAACGTCAATCGCGTAATATTATACTTATTCAATGGTCTGCTTACGAAATGGAGAATGCCTTTTATTGTGGAGGGGTACATGAAAAGAATGTTTTTCCAGCTAAATATGGAACCGAAGGTATCCAAGCACTCTAAGCATAATTTGGGCTTGAAATTGCGCGAGGGAATCAAAGTTTCATGTTTACTTGTCAGAAAGTCAAAAGAAATTGGGTTTAGTTAGGTTTGTGATATGATGCTCTTGATGACAACATTTGCGCGTACTTGAGAGTGCCGTTAATTTGCTTGCGAGTTGCGCGTTCAAAATGGCAGGAAGCTGTGAGGCGCATTTGAATAATTTGTAGGATAAACTCAATTTAGGCTACTTTTGCGATGACAGAAGTGGAGATTTATCTATTCTCTAGGGAGTGCCCGACTTTCCATTTGATTTGTGTCTGTGGAAAACGAATCTATGCCGATGTCCGATATTTCATTTGTGCCCCAGTATCTTCACACCAAAATTTTTCACTTTGATCTATGAATGCAATTACATTTACCATGGGTTTATGGGTGGTAATTCACGTGATTAATGACTGCGTCAAGAAAAAGTCTTCTATTCTTCCGACTTTTTTTCTGACATGCAATACTTCATTCGGTATGATGTCATCTGTCTTTGCTCTATGGGACACTACCAGGCCAAAATCGAATTCATTGAATGGGGGGGGGGGGTCTGCTTAGCTTTTTGAAGGTTGAGAAAAGTGTGTTCTGCAACTGGATGTTTTAAGGGAAGCAGGTTTTCAGTAGAATTTTTCGTTTGTAAGTTTCTGTATACTGTAATACAGGTTTTGTTAGGTGAAATAGCTCGTTTTCGGAAAAGCAGATTTTTCTGTGAGAGCTGATGCTTCTTAACATTCTTTGAGAAAAATTGTTTATAAAGCTTTTGAAGTGACACTGTTAACATAATATAATATAATATAATATAATATAACAGCTTCTAACGTAATATCGGCGTGCCAGTGCCGTTCCAGCACCGTGCTGTTACTTGGACGCGTCTTATATTGATCGATCGACGTTCCGGCGCGGTGATGCTGAAACGGCGCTAGCACGAGCAGCTTTGGCGCGGCCTTAGTGCCTTCATATATCACTTTCTTTGATTGAGATTATAATAATGATAATTTTTATCATTATTTTTTCTTAGGTTCTCCAATTTTTTCAGATATACTCAAGAAAAGGCAAGTAAAGATATCGCAGACATGAAAGCTCGTAAAAATGAACTTGGAAAGAATTTGAACACAAGAGCGATGAATGTGCTTTCACAAGTGGAAGAGCAGGTGTGTTATGGCTGACTTTGTCCCATCGGAAATTCAATAGTGTTTATTATAGGTTATGGGCCTACAACAAAAGAAAAATCAAATAGCTGTCGATCGTCAGAAGCTGCTAGACACTATAGCTCTACTTGATAAGAAGAAAACTCGGGAGATACACAAAGCGCACGAACAAGTGAACAGGGTATGCGAAGGTCGTAAAATTATTGGTTTTTGATGGATAATCTTCTGTTTTCTCAGGATTTCGGGAATATCTTCTCTACTCTGCTACCCGGCGCCACTGCTAAAGTCGAACCTCCTCCTGGGAAGACTGTGGAGGACGGATTAGAAGTAAAAGTAGCATTCAATGGGAAATGGAAGGATTCGTTGCAAGAGTTATCTGGAGGTATGTCCAAGTGACATTTCTGTTCTCTATGCAATTAAATTTACTTCATAAGTATTCTATTATCCTTGACATATTCTAAGTGTGATGAAAACGATACACTGTTTGAAATTTATTTACTGGGTTCTTGTTGTTATCTGCAGATACAAAGCATCTATCCACAGAAATATCTTCTGACGTTGCTGTGGAGATACTGAAAAGATTCTTGTGATCAGAAGAGCAATGATGATCTCGACTAGATAAGCACTACGCTGTTTTGCAAAAAGAGATGTTTGACACATTTTGGATGAGGAGAGAAGATTGTGAGGACATCGAAAACTAAAAAAATGAGAAATGGACGGGTTAAGTTTTCTGCTTCATTCGTTGTGGAAGTCGCAGTCAATATGAGCTCCATAACTTTCGAGAAGAAAAATACATGATTTTGAAAGCTGTAGAATGTATTGCCAAAACATGTTGACGTATAAGTGTGAATTTGCCACTGAGCTTGTTTTATTTTTTCCTTAGCTCAAAGATATATTGATTTCGTTCCGCATACATCATTTTCAGGTCAACGATCGCTTGTAGCTTTATCGTTGGTGTTGGCCATGCTGAAGTTTCGCCCTGCTCCAATCTATATCCTGGATGAAGTTGACGCAGCTTTAGATCTGTCCCATACGCAAAATATCGGACACATGATCAAGAAGCATTTTACTACCAGCCAGGTGAGGTACTATTCATACTTTGTGGACTGTTTGGTGGAGTTTTGACATTTTCTTGCAGTTCATCATCGTCTCTCTTAAAGAAGGCATGTTCAACCATGCAAATGTGCTTTATCGAACCAAATTCTGCGATGGAACATCTCAAGTCACCCGTACTGTGAATAAATCCTCAAACTGATTGGATATCAATCTGTTGAAAAAGTTAGAGTACAACTAATAATCCACACTCATCTTTTTCTTACGTTTTCAATAATCTATAATCTTCTCGAGTTTTTTCTTTCTTTAGTAGATGATCTCATTCAGTCTTCCGTTACGTGTATGTGCTGTTTTTATTGCATTGCTGTATTCAGACATTTGTATCTTATTCTGTATTGCTTAGGATTATCCAATCAGAATTTTTGATGATACCTGCTTTGTTGAACTTATCAGTAAATATCAGTAAATGTTGATGTGGGATATATTCCTTCTCCGCAAGGCGTTAATAGTGCTCAGTTGAGTAAGAATGTGTAAACTACTACAAATCAATAATATTTTGCACATTTGAGCAGCGTTCAAATTGACATGGCACAAGAAGACAAGTTTTTTTTCAATCATCATCATTGAACAGATTATCTATCTAGTTGTTATCTTTTGGTTCCTACTATACACCGTCTCGAATGCCAGATTGTGAAAGCATTTGCTCATATGAGGCACAGTTTATATGGTGTATGGGACCGATCAATTGGGTCTTTCATAAGCTTTCATGACAGTGCTTTGTACATACTGGATTCGAGTAAATTCTCTCTTCAAGTTAGGCCTTGGTCGGATTTGATTCTTTCAGCTCCCATAGAGAAGCATAAATATAGAGGGCTTATATGAGTGCTTCGTATCGGGCAAAAGCGAAACGTCAGGGACGACACGCCATAGAGATTGCCTCATGCTGCACCTGCAACGAGAGAACAGTCTCCAAAGCGTTGATCTGTCGGCTTCCCTCGAATCTGCAAGCTCCTTTGTCGTAGTCGAAGAAGGTTAGGACGAGAGGCAGTCGGTACTCCCGGCAGTTCTATGATCCTCAAAACCGTCTGGATGTGGTGCATGCAGCTGAATCCTTCGCGAAATCCAGCTATTTCTTGGGGATTAGCTTCATTAATGTCCTAGGATATGCGAGCGAGGATAATCTTCGTAAAAAGCTTGTACAGCACACTCAGAAGGCATATTGGACGGTAGTTCCAGAGGCCCTCTCGTTTACTCTTCTTAAAGAGGAGTTCTTGACGTTCTCCACTGATCGGGACTTCTCCCTTTCTGAAGGTTAGATGTCAGATGCGACGCAAGAATCTCGTGTAGACGCTGTCCTCCGGTTTCCGGTTCGCAGAAAGTTGACGGAAAGATGGTCTAGTCCTGGAGCTGTGGACGTCTTCATGGTCTGAATGGCTGCGCGCACTTCAGCAGGTAGAATTCGTGGTGGTACTTTTCCAGTGGGAACAGCGGGTGTTAATGAGTGGAAGAAGTTGATATAGGAGTTCTTCACAATAGATTCCATCTTATATCGGGAAGAAGTCTGGGTCCCGTCTTTGTTCAATAGTGCAGCCAGCGGCACGTTATATTCACAGAAGTCCCTTCGGCACTTCTTAAAGGCAGTGGATCGACAAATCTCAACCTAGTCAAATTTTCGCTTACCTGGGGTTATTCGATAACCTGATCCCGAAAATCCACTTCTGCGAGCTTGAAAACGGCGAAAACGAGCGTTTTTCAATGTCCTTCCCTTCGGAATTGGACGAGTGGCGCAAGGCTGATGATGCTGGATCGTTGCGGGACCCAATGAATAGAATTGCGGCGGGCAGCCTCGAATGGTGAGGAGGAAATTGCCAACTCGTCCGGGAGCGTGTAAGATTGGCCTGCGCGTGTAAGTTTGAGAGCCATTTTTTCGGCAGGGAATTCATGCTGTGCTACCAGGATTGCACTGTTGTCATACTTGGGCGATAGAGAACCTATCGCGTTAAAATCCTGGGTTGTTGAGTTTTGCCGATCCACTGCCTTTAAAACTTCGTCTGCTTCCAGTATCATGGCTTGCCTGTACTTCCTGAGATCCTCCTGCAAAGCTGTTCTGCAACTGGCGTTTGCTATCAGTCGCTCGAGATGGGTTGCATTCGGATCCTGCCTCAGAAGTCTTTTTCTTTTGAGAAATTAGTGGCCTTAGTGGTCTTCGAAATGCATTCCAAGTTCTTCTCAGAAGTTATTGAGGCGCACTCTCCATAGGCTCGCAATCCTTTCAGAAGCCGGTTGTAGTCGTACGTTGGGTCCTCCTCGATGGGCCAGTCACAACTTGACATAAGCTCCTCCAGCCTGTTGCCGTCAGAAACGAATTCTTCCTTCTTGGGGCACTGTGGCGGACCTTCTTTTCCAGCTTTCGACTGAGTTGTATCTTCGCTCGAAGGAGACGGTGATCGGAGCCATTGCAGAAGAATGAAACTACTGGGACATCGAGCAAGCTTTACCTTGGTTGGCGAGAATGTGGTCGATGGGCGATTCCCATATCCACCAGCGATGTCCTTCATGAACTTGGAACTTCCATGGAAAAGTCGAGCGGCCGAGAGGAGTCCAACGAGACAGTTGCCGTTCGTTCCGGATTTCAAACTTCCTTGTCCTATACTCTTCTAGTGCAATCCCGATTTTCGCGTTGAAGTCGCCCACAACAAACTTGCAAAAGGACTTCTCGTAGCGGACACCTCCCTCAGGTCTTGGAACGCATTTAGTTCTGATTTATCAGTTGCTGAAGTTGGAAATTAGCAGTTGATGATGGGTTCCTGACGTCAAGGTCCTAGACATAGGATATCCAGTCGAGGTGTCCATGCGGATCGACAAGTTGGACGATAGGTGAGTGCACGACAAAGAAAACGCTTTCAACGTTTCGTGATAAAACTTTTCAACACGAATAGTGAGGGTCCCTATCAGTCAAGTGTCGCACATCTTTACTCCTGGCCCCCCTTTCCTGCCCAGCAACGATGTGCTCCTTTATATGCGCTGCAGATTCGAGGAGCCACAGATCAGCGCTTTTGGAGACCTGTCGTTGCAGGTGCAGCATGAGGCACTCTCTATGGCGTGTCGTCTGAGCAGATGTGTGGTTTGTGTCCGATCCAAAAGGCGCCCTAGGGACCCTGACATCGTTATAGCTACCACCCGGCGCCGATGTGCTGGGTTTCTTTCCATTCTTCTAACTGACGGAGTAATGGAATTTTTCCCTTACAGAAACAGACTTACTAGGCCTACTCTTGATTCCACGGGGTTATCGCTGACCCCGGGCTTGGAGCAGGAAGAACCCGCCTACGACCAGAAAACCAGAGGTGGATCTGACCTCGCCGGCTCTTAGCTGGGCATCCGGGCGAAACCGGAAACGTCGAGTTCCTTCACAGCTTGGGAGGTTCTGCCAGAGTCTACACTCGGCTGTGCATCGCAGTTCGACACCCAGTGTCATCTCCGCGCCACATAAGGCGGTCGACCATTGTGGGGGTGTTATGGAAATTATAGACCCAAATTCTTGCATATCTTTGTCTGCGAGCACTGCATGCGAATCAACGTTGCTGTATTATCGGCGACACGAGCACGGACGTCATGCAAGAGCTGCAAAGAGTGCTGCATTAGCACAACCCCCCTAGTGAACCATGTTTAACGCTGCGCTTTGAATAATGAATACAGATGAATACTACAAGATGAAAGTGAGTTTAAAAAGTCAGATTTTGCAACTAAGCCTGGTTGAAATGCATTAAAGGCAAAGCCAGTGTCCTCAGACAATTTACCGGAACTTCCGCAGGACAAGCAAAATTTGCAACGGTTCGCAGAATTTTGTTTACTACTGCAAATGTACTTTGAGATGTCAGTATTTCCGCAGATTTTTGAAAATGTTGTTACTTACGGTTGCCTCGCCAACAACTAGAGTGCATTTTCAAAAATGTCATCTGTAATGCAGAGAACAGTAAGTGGCAATAGGCACGGTTCGAAACTCGCTTAGGTGTTCTTTTGCTGTTGTGGTTCGCATTCTTCGGAACTTCCGCAGGTAACCCGACGGAAGTTTCTCAAACGTTCTCCGGAGGTTCCGGTCAGTTGTCTGAGTCAGTGTACCTCACCTGGCTCTGAGCCTTCAAAACGCTCTTCTCCCATCTCAGCTTTTTCATTCCTTTGCGACTTTATGTGGCCTTCGAACTTCCGCTTGAGGATTCGATTGTCAAGAGTTTAAAGAGAAGGTTGAGTTATTCCGTTCAGTGTGCAGGCCAGATTTGCCCTTAAAAATTGCCATAGAGCGCAAAACCTGAAAAGTGCATACTGTGGATGTTTTGCGCGACTGTTGCCGTCATCTCAAGCAAGGCAACATCTTACACACACATTTCCATCCTTTATAGCACTACCAGACCATAGTGCCGCTTCGCGGCACTTTGGTCTGGTAAGTGGGTGGGAGCAATGCTTCGAAGCGGTACTGTCTTTATTGGATGTTTCATTTACATCGTATCTATATCAAAAGGAATCGTATCTGCTATAGATTAGATGAGAACGCTTTTTAACAAAATGTCTATGGTTCAAATGAATTAGGGTTTGTAATCAATTCGATGCAACATTGATAATTCTCATTCGGGAAGAACTTAGTGCTTACATTCCTGGGCTTTCAAATGAGTAGGATTATCACTGTAGAGATGTCCCAAAAAGTTTGTACTCGCAAAAACTTAGCTGTCCTACGTAAAAGAGAACGTATCTGTTTTTTGAGAGAAGTTGTGCGAAATCCGATCAGCTCACGAATTCCTGGCGTTTTTGAAGCATGATAGAAGACGGAGCTGTGGTCTCAGCATTGAATAATTAGTCAGCGGACCGAGTCCGCTTTTGAAGAATTTTTTGAAACTTGCAATCTTTTTTGCATATGACTTGGTCAAAATTTCGTTTTCGACTAAGCTCGAGTTCGTCATATCATAGAGTCTGTCTCAGTCTTAATCAGTCCGAGATCGGGAGGGAGTCCGTTTCATGAGGGTATTGCGTCACGTCTACTCTAGCTTGTATCCTCATCTGCGCTGTATGTGATTGTGCGAAATGTGGGCCGTGATTATTGCTAGAACTGGTCCGAAAGCTAGAGCTGCTCTATTCATCACTCAGAGTTCTCATGAAATCTGAACGATTTTCATAAATTTTCCAAGTTTGTGCAAAATCCACTGAAAAGCTGCAAAATGTTCTCGCAAATGCAGAGCTCGTATAATATCCTTCTGTGGTTGCGGGTTGAGCAGTATGTTTTTCCCAGTTTCTCGCACTAAGTTCTGGAAAACATAGTGCTTTGCGCATATGGATGTTTTGGAAAGCTCATATGCGGCGCCTCACGGAGACGAGGAACTGAACT